AATGAAGTGTTCACAAAACGTAGGAGGCTTTTAAGTCAATTAAGCAAAATGCTTGTTATCAATGCCATCAAAGTTTATTTTTGGCCCTAAGTAAATTATAGGTTATTATCATTTTAAGTTCACAAGATGGATTCATAAGATTGTTGGTGTTTATATGTATTGAGTACAGTGTGGGTAAAATTTCAATCTGAACTAATTAGAAAAAGCAAAAAACCAGTCAAAATGTGACTTGTATCTTGAAACAATATTGTCAAATACTGTCTCTTTCATGTATCTTTGAAATGGACAAAATCATACATCATCTGTTCGTTGTGAGTTTTATACAAAATAACAACACCAACTTTTTGCACGAGTTGTGTTATTTAAGTCCTTCAGAAACCTGTATTTATAGCTTCAATGATGAAAACATATTTGTTTCCATATAAACTTGTGTTATTATTAGGGCTAAAATTCTTTATTTGAGAAAAAAAAAGTCTTTCACTTTTAAAATAAATGACATAGATTTAGTCATGTCATGCCCTGATATGAAAATGTTACTAAAATATTCTGAAACATAACAGTCTAACCCATAAAAAGATCAAACGTAGCTTAAGTATTGTTAATACCAGCTAATATTTGATTTTGTCGCATATTTAACAAGATTAAATTCATAGCTTCGGCAATAAAATAAATTCCACTTGGATTATAAACATTATCGGAACAATAAAGAAATCAATCTATTAAAGTGATATCAAGTTTAAATAAATACCCAACTTAGATTGGCTGATTGACGTCTGATACAATTCATTTTACTGTGAAAATATATGAGGTATACATAAAGAATAATATACATTTGACTGTAAAGATACAAGATTGTAGATTGATAAAAAAAGTTATAAAAACCATGCAGGACTGAATATCGGTGTTGACCACAGGAGACCACCCACCTCTCATTTATTTTTCATACTAATATTTTATTAAATAAACATATATACAGAATACAAACATTACAGGTGCCAGGAGTATCCTTGTAACACAGATGTAATATCTGATAGGTTTGATAAAATACAAAATGAATCACCACACATACTTTATAACATAAAAAAATTAACCTGTTTTTTATGCCCCCACAATGTGGGAGCATATAGCGTTGCACTTGTCCGTCCGTCCGTCCGTCAGTCCGTCCGTCAGTCAGTCCGTCCGTCAGTCCGTACGTCCCGAAATCTTGTGAACGCAACTCCTCTTAAACCGGATGGCAGATTTTGCTTAAACTTACAGGGATGAACAACCTTAATGTGTAGATGGTAGTAAAGGAAGGAATTTTCGCTGCGACCAAATTTAACAGAATTATGGCCCTTTGTTGATTTTTTCACTAGATACTATGTAGAAATTTTGTGAACGCAACTCCTCTTAAACCGGATGGCAGATTTTGCTTAAACTTCCAGGGATGAACAACCTAAATGTGTAGATGGTAGTAAAGGAAGGAATTTTTGCTGCGACCAAATTTAACAGAATTATGGCCCTTTGTTGATTTTTTCACTATATACTATATAGAAATTTTGTGAACGCAACTCCTCTTAAACCGGATGGCAGATTTTGCTTAAACTTACAGGGATGAACAACCTTCAGGTGTAGATGGTAGTAAAGGAAGGAATTTTCGCTGCGACCAAATTTTACAGAATTATGGCCCTTTGTTGATTTTTTCACTATATACTATGTAGAAATTTTGTGAATGCAACTCCTCTTAAACCGGATGGCAGATTTTGCTTAAACTTCCAGGGATGAACAACCTTAATGTGTAGATGGCAGTAAAGAAAGGAATTTTTCCTGCAACCAAATTTTACAGAATTATGGCCCTTTGTTGATTTTTTCACTATATACTATGTAGAAATTTTGTGAATGCAACTCCTCTTAAACCGGATGGCAGATTTTGCTTAAACTTCCAGGGATGAACAACCTTAATGTGTAGATGGCAGTAAAGAAAGGAATTTTTGCTGCAACCAAATTTTACAGAATTATGGCCCTTTGTTGATTTTTAGTTTTCAACTTGTGGCACATGTAGTCCAAAAAATATTTGACCTAGAGTCATAAGATTGACAGAACAGTGGCGTGTGGGGGCATCCGTGTCCTATGGACACATTTCTAGTATAAACTGAAAGAGATATGCAATACAGAAGTAATACGAGTACAAGTAGATTACCCACTGTGTTTTTATATTTCTAAAATTATAAGTGGGAAATAATTATATTGTTATATTTTTTCATCAGTTTAAAGTAAATTATGACTGCCATTACTGTATTCACAGTACTCATTCTTTAAGTTACAATATCTTGATATTGAAATCCCTAAATCTGGCAGTGAATCTAAAGCTGTTTATTCAGGGGTTGAAAAGTTAAAGTACTCAGTGTGTGTGAGTTAAGTGTGTAAAAATAGCCGGATGTAGTTCAGATGCTTGTAATTAATCAGATTAGTCAGTTTCCAGCCACTTATCATTGTCACTTTAAAAAACATGAGTAAACTTTCAGTGTCGAGTTGTGTTCTTATCAAAAGGTTTACATTGTGTGGTTAAGGAAATACAGGTAGTAATTTACATTGTTAGATTATTCAATGAATTAGATGATTATTATATCTTTTTGGTTGGGTTCAAGTCACTCTGATATTATGAAAGTTTGTAAGCGAACAGCATGGATCCTGATCTCATAATGTTGGTTTTGTCGTGACGGGGCTCATATGGCTTATAACTTCTTTTACCTCTTTCCCTGTAACATTGCTTGTTTAATAAAATTTACAAACTGAAATTAGATTTTCTGTTGGTTATGAATTCAGTTTGATAATTATTATAAAGTTTTGACAATAATAAGTATAAAGTCATTAAGTGCAAATTAAGAAAATTATACAAATTAAATTGAGGTGATCAATTTAGTTTATTATGTAGTTGGTGTTGATCATGATATATTAATGTAAACATTATTGGTCATGCTAAATTATGAGAGAATATTAAAAATTTTACTAAGCTCTGTCACATCTGTTGCCTAGGTAAGTCATTGCTGGGTCACTATAAATGTAGTTTATGCTTCAAAGGGAAGTCACTCATGAAGTTATCCAGAACAGTCACATAATTATTGGACCAAATACTTGAAGTATCATATTATAAATATAGTTTAATAAGTTGTCAGATATACATGTATGAAAATGAGATTTGTTATTTTATTTTAACTTCAGTATTTTATTTATGTTACGCTATTTTAGAAGGGCAGAAAATTCTACAATTTATTTTTACAAAGTTATGCTCATTTTTGCCTTTTTATTTTACTGAGGTCTATTTCTCAGACTATCAAAGTTGGAATTCTTGTTCTATTTAAAAATTTGAATGCATTTCTAAAAGGCAGGTAACTATTATAATTAATATTTGTTCAGTATTGTCGATGTTTAATTTTGACTCTGAATTTCTTGGTTACATCTTTGATATTCACTCCAAATTTAGAGTAATTTGAGGATGTCTTTTTGCCTCCAATGTAATAAAATTGCTACATAAATCTTGTCATCCTGTTACAGTCACCAGATTACAATAAGATATTTTCAGCGTATTTGATGAAAAAAAGATCTGAACACAGCATGTTGAATTTTCCTTTCAAATACTTTTTGGTAGAGCTGTTTTATTTAAATATCTGCATAAAATACAATACTGCATTGAGAGAACATATTATCTGCTAGAATAAATGTTTTAAAAAAGAAGAGACTGGATCAATCATAGATGGAAAAAGCCAGGAAATACCGTTGATAGTTGTTTCCAGACATATTAATTCTGTCCATTCTATTGGTCAGACTGGATAAAGTAGGGGGAAATAATAATGATGTTGATAACTTAGATTATAATGATTTAACAAAGAAAGCTTTTAGTTTGACAGTATCAGGAATCTTTTTACTTATACCCTGTTAATTATCATCTTGGGTTGCCAGTACATCATCTTATATATCTGTACTGGACTAGAAGTTGAAATCATACAACGGTTATAATAGGCAGTCTCAGAGAAATATAAGACTACAACTCCCCACTGTTGATCCTTGTAGGAAGACATTCTTCACTATAGATGACAATAATTAAGGGATATAAAGATGTTATACAATGTTACACAGTAAGATATTTCATTAAAACACCAAAGACACAGATGTTCTTTGACAATATTACAAATAGAAACAACATGGGGCTCTAGAAAATCCCACTGACAAATATACATGTATTAAGTATTAGAGCTTAGAATTATTTCCACAAAAAATAACCTTTGTTTTGTCAGAAATCTTAAAAAGACTTTTAACTTTGTGCTGTTGTTATTTATTTTTTGCATGAATTTCTGGGTTAAAAGAGTTTGATTTGTTTGTATGAAAGAACAATTAATGGAATAAAACGTTTTGCTGCTGAAGAACCAAAGAAATGTTTATGTACATAAGGATGGCGTAGCATTATACTAATTACAAAGCATGTCTAAAATGATACCTGTAAGCTCTTTTAGGCTGCTGGCAACAACATGTGTAGCAGCTGGCACATACTTGTCCCCGGATCATGTTTTACACTGTTGGCTATTCAGTCAGAACATATTTTTAAATTTTCTGTAGAAATGATGAATGGTTTTGTACAGATTGAAAGATAATAAAACACCTCCAAGTTAATCAATTACAGTTGTATAAAGGCCTAAATGTTATTTAAGCACTTTTACATTTTATTTGTTTCAAAGTCATCCTTAAGCCTTATATAAAAAAAACTTATAGCTCAGTATGTTCATTTTCTGTCATAAATTTCCTAGAAAATAAATGTGAAATATTTGGACTTTCTAGATATTTGACATTTAAAGGAGTAAATATCAATAAGATGTTAATTGTAAAATTGACTGCTTTTGGAATGGACTATTATATGATGGATAAAATGCTGTTTTGGGTAATATGTTAGATAAATTGCTAGTGTTAATATTATATATAAAAATAAAGTCATATTTGCTTTAAATGTTTCCTTTTTATATTTTCAGAAAACAGAACATGGATGGGCAGTTGTACTGTGAATCTCATTTCCCACCAACTCCAAAGTCCAAGATGGAGGATAAAGCTCGAAAACCTGCAGTAAGTAATTTACAATATAGTGAGGGTCTGTTGTTGTTTCATCATTACATTAGTTAATGGGCTGTTACATATACATAATTTACACTTTGACATTAGTCATAAACTGTAACATGTACATGATTTACACTTTGCAAGTTAAAGGTTGTTGCATGTACATTATTTACACTTTGACAAGACCTAAACTGTAACATGTACATTATTTACACTTTGACAAGACCTAAACTGTAACATGTACATGATTTACACTTTGCAAGTTAAAGGTTGTTGCATGTACATTATTTACACTTGACAAGACCTAAACTGTAACATGTACATTATTTACACTTTGACAAGACCTAAACTGTAACATGTACATGATTTACACTTTGACAAGACCTAAACTGTAACATGTACATGATTTACACTTTGCAAGTTAAAGGTTGTTGCAATGTACATGATTTACACTTTGACAAGACCTAAACTGTAACATGTACATGATTTACACTTTGCAAGTTAAAGGTTGTTGCATGTACATTATTTACACTTTGACAAGACCTAAACTGTAACATGTACATTATTTACACTTTGACAAGACCTAAACTGTAACATGTACATGATTTACACTTTGCAAGTTAAAGGTTGTTGCATGTACATTATTTACACTTTGACAAGACCTAAACTGTAACATGTACATTATTTACACTTTGACAAGACCTAAACTGTAACATGTACATGATTTACACTTTGCAAGTTAAAGGTTGTTGCATGTACATTATTTACACTTTGACAAGACCTAAACTGTAACATGTACATTATTTACACTTTGACAAGACCTAAACTGTAACATGTACATGATTTACACTTTGACAAGACCTAAACTGTAACATGTACATGATTTACACTTTGCAAGTTAAAGGTTGTTGCATGTACATGATTTACACTTTGACATTAGTCATAAACTGTAACATGTACATGATTTACACTTTGCAAGTTAAAGGTTGTTGCATGTACATGATTTACACTTTGACAAGTCATAAACTGTAACATGTACATGATTTACACTTTGCCAAGTCATAAACTGTAACATGTACATGATTTACACTTTGCCAAGTCATAAACTGTAACATGTACATGATTTACACTTTGCAAGTTAAAGGTTGTTGCATGTACATTATTTACACTTTGACAAGACCTAAACTGTAACATGTACATGATTTACACTTTGCAAGTTAAAGGTTGTTGCATGTACATTATTTACACTTTGACAAGACCTAAACTGTAACATGTACATTATTTACACATTTTAACAAGACCTAAACTGTAACATGTACATGATTTACACTTTGCAAGTTAAAGGTTGTTGCATGTACATTATTTACACTTTGACAAGACCTAAACTGTAACATGTACATTATTTACACTTTGCAAGTTAAAGGTTGTTGCATGTACATTATTTACACTTTGACAAGACCTAAACTGTAACATGTACATGATTTACACTTTGACAAGACCTAAACTGTAACATGTACATTATTTACACTTTGACAAGACCTAAACTGTAACATGTACATTATTTACACTTTGACAAGACCTAAACTGTAACATGTACATTATTTACACTTTGACAAGACCTAAACTGTAACATGTACATTATTTACACTTTGACAAGTCATAAACTGTAACATGTACATGATTTACACTTTGACAAGACCTAAACTGTAACATATACATGTACATAATTTACACTTTGACAAGACCTAAACTGTTACATATACATGTACATGATTTACACTTTGACAAGACCTAAACTGTAACATATACATAATTTACCTTTGACAAGACCTAAACTGTAACATATACATAATTTACCTTTGACAAGACCTAAACTGTAACATGTACATGATTTACACTTTGACAAGACCTAAACTGTAACATGTACATGATTTACCTTTGACAAGACTTAAACTGTAACATGTACATAATTTACACTTTGACAAGTCATAAACTGTAACATTTACATGATTTACACTTTGACAAGACCTTAACTGTAACATGTACATGATTTACCTTTGACAAGTCATAAATTGTAACATATACATGATTTACACTTTGACAAGACCTAAACTGTAACATGTACATGATTTACACTTTGACAAGACCTAAACTGTAACATGTACATGATTTACCTTTGACAAGTCATAAACTGTAACATATACATAATTTACCTTTGACAAGACCTAAACTGTAACATGTACATGATTTACACTTTGACAAGACCTGAACTGTAACATGTACATGATTTACACTTTGACAAGACCTAAACTGTAACATATACATGATTTACACTTTGACAAGACCTAAACTGTAACATATACATGATTTACACTTTGACATGTCATAAACTGTAACATATACATAATTTACACTTTGACATGTCATAAACTGTAACATGTACATTATTTACACTTTGACAAGACCTAAACTGTAACATGTACATTATTTACACTTTGACAAGACCTAAACTGTAACATGTACATTATTTACACTTTGACAAGACCTGAACTGTAACATGTACATGATTTACACTTTGACAAGACCTAAACTGTAACATATACATGATTTACACTTTGACAAGACCTAAACTGTAACATATACATAATTTACACTTTGACAAGACATAAACTGTAACATGTACATTATTTACACTTTGACAAGACCTAAACTGTAACATGTACATTATTTACACTTTGACAAGTCATAAACTGTAACATGTACATTATTTACACTTTGACATGTCATAAACTGTAACATGTACATAATTTACACTTTGACATGTCATAAACTGTAACATATACATTATTTACACTTTGACATGTCATAAACTGTAACATGTACATTATTTACACTTTGACATGTTATAGGTTGAATTACATGTCATGTATACAAGTTTCCAAGCAAGAAAGAAATATTCTATGAATTATGAATTATCTTTTGCCTGATTTGCTGCTTTGTTTGATTTAATTTTGAGTAACTGTCTGTGTAAATGTATGTCTAAATGGTATTTGAGTATTTACTAAATTGAGTTACCTTTGGTAAATTAAGTATGTTTATTTATATGTTAATTTTATTTTAACTTCTTGCACTCAAATTAGACATTATGAATTGAAAATTGTGAAGAGTTTTAATTTGGATTCTTATTCTGATATGATTTTTTTTCAAAATTCTTGAAACTGTGCAGTGTTTGTTCTATCATCACAATTTACAGAACTTTGTCAATGAAATGTACCAGATATTGTACAATAATTATATGTGAGCATGATTGTTTATTTGTGATGGTTGTCTATGACGGAATTCCACAGTAGGTGAAGTATACAACTGCCATTTACACTATGTCGGGAAATGTCACCTCCCCGCCCATAACCGATTTCTATTATTGACCATTGTCCATGTGCTAGAATATTATTTTATCTTTTAAAAAGATAAAAGTTTGTGATATATCAGTTAGCTTTTCAGTGGGATTTAACTTATTTAATGTCCACAGTAAGTAAATACAACTTACCATTATTATATAATTACAACAATAAAAAATGAATTTACATTTTGTTTATTACAGTCAAATGACAATGATTTATTTGAAGTTAACAGCATTTTTTAATTGATATATAAGCAACTCCAAACAATTAGTTATATGACATTGTGACAGTGGTATTCTCCATTGTGTGAGCTTTTATTTTATTATATATTCAATGTTCAATCAAATTATGCAGAGCTTTATTAGTTTTGTAATCATTTCATTTAAAATCTTTTTATGTTTCGCTCATCAAGGTTATATTTTGTTTAGAGTAATAAGACATAGGCCCAGAGATTATCCTCTGCTGTCTAGTGATAGGCTGATTTTATGGCTTAGTGGTAAGATGATCAACTTTAAAACACCTGCCTCTCACTGCTGTGGCTTTGAATTACGCTAGGGGACATTGTTATCTGTAAATTGTGGGCCTGAGGAAACTATCAAACTTGCTAACAGCTGATTAGTGGTTCAGATGTATGTCTGATATATGGAGGAGTTCCTCCATCAGTAAAAGGCACTAGCAACCTTGGATTTTTTCATATGACGGAGCTTTCCAGCTAGCTTACAGAACGCTGGTGGTTTTACATGGGTACATGCTCATGCCTGAAATGATGCACACAGGGGCACCTGAGATTTTTCTTCACCAGTTAAGCTGAAAAGTTGCCTAATGGTCATAACAATATTGGTAAGACAAAAAATCCTTCAAGCTGCAATGTTTCCATAGAACCTTACTGTATGATTTGCTTGAATTCAATCCACTCCCCAAGAGAAAGAAAAAAGGAAGGAAAAACCTTCTGAGAGGGTATTGTGTCCTATATGTTATATATTTATGTTTGTTGGACTGGCAGACTGCACAGCTATCCTTTTATAAATAGATGATGACATTTTACTTATTCAGGGTCCAGATTTCATTGACTTGATAATCCGACTTCAAGATAACAGAATAGAAGATCAGCGCTGTGATATTTCTTCATTTTCTAAGGTGAGAAATTGTCTTACACTTCTGTTTTTAAGAAAGACTTACTTTAACCATATATCAAGCAAGATAGTATTTGCTGTGAGGCATTTGGAAGTTGAAGTTGCTGCATGGCTATGTTATTTATGTGCAGGAAGAGTGTGTGCTCCTTTTATAATGGCAACATTACAGTTGCTCCCTTGTATGTAAAAAAAAAACCCTTCTACTTGGAACTTGAAATTGTCACTATACTACTCTAAGTTGCCTAATAAATTTTAGCATCTTGAAGTTCCTAAACCTGATGAATTTATGCAACGGATTTACCCTGCTTTGAATTTGGGACAGCTCATTCATGTTTAAGGGATTTCAATAAAAAAAAATTGAAAACAACGAATGGTATGGAGTCTGAAATGTAATCAAGGAGTAATAGGAGAGTTATTGCCCTTGAAATACCCAAAGGTTTAATGAAAGCCATAAATATTTCTTTCTTCAACAGTTTTTAGCTCGATTTTTTTCAATATTGTAACAGTCCTGGCAGCATTCCTGTTGCCTTTGTCGTCTGAAAACTTTATCTTTGGTCATAACTCTTTTAAGTTGTTGTTGTATTGTCTTTCATACTTGGCCACAACAATCCTTTGGACAAGACCTTCAAGTAGACCAGACTAAACTTGACCTTCATTCATAGATGACCTTGACCTTCAAGATCAAATGTCTAAATTTTGCATAAGTAGCTAATTTGAACTTCAAACTTGATCACAACAATCTTTTAGGATAGACCTTCAGACAGACCTTGAACTTCACTCATAAATGACCTGGACCTTGAAGGTCAAATTATTGATTTTTTTTTATTGCTGTAACTGGATATAACTTTGTTATTAATGAATGGATTGACTTCATAGTAAGACACAACTTTCTTTAGGATAAGACCTTCATTTATATGAAACTCAAAATGTGCTTTACAGGCTTATTCATGGCATTTACCTTGAAGGTAATTTTCACTGATTTTTAACCAGGTTTTCCGAAGGAAAAAACTGGTTATTAGATTGAGGTATGTCGGCGGGCGGGCGGGCGGGCGGGCGGGCGGACGGGCGGGTGGGCGGGCGTAAACAATTTCTTCTGTGCGCAACTCCTCCTACATTTCTCAACGGATTTTGACCAAACTTTCACAGAAGCTTTGTCATCAAGTGCCCTGGCGCATATTGTCGGGTTTTGCGATTAGATAATATTTGACCTAATTATGGCCCTTTGTTTTTTTCCCTTATATAGAATATATAGTGAACAATTTCTTCTGTGCGCAACTCCTACATTTCTCAACAGATTTTGACCAAACTTTCTCAGAAGCTTTGTCATCAAGTGCCCTGACACATATTGCCAGGGTTTTGCAATTGGTATATATTTGACCTAATTATGGCCCTTTGTTTTTTTTCCTTATATAGAATATATTGTGAACAATTTCTTCTGTGCGCAACTCCTCCTACATTTCACAACGGATTTTGACCAAACTTTCTCAGAAGCTTTGTCATCAAGTGCCCTGACACATATTGCCAGGGTTTTGCAATTGGTATATATTTGACCTAATTATGGCCCTTTGTTTTTTTTTCCTTATATAGAATATATAGTAAACAATTTCTTCTGTGCGCAACTCCTCCTACATTTCTCAACAGATTTTGACCAAACTTTCTCAGAAGCTTTGTCATCAAGTGCCATGACACATATTGCCAGGGTTTTGCAATTGGTATATATTTGACCTAATTATGGCCCTTTGTTTTTTTTCCTTATATAGAATATATAGTAAACAATTTCTTCTGTGCGCAACTCCTCCTACATTTCTCAACAGATTTTGACCAAACTTCCTCAGAAGCCTTGTCATCAAGTGCCCTGACACATATTGCCAGGGTTTTGCAATTGGTATATATTTGACCTAATTATGGCCCTTTGTTTTTTTTCCTTATATAGAATATATAGTGAACAATTTCTTCTGTGCGCAACTCCTCCTACATTTCACAACGGATTTTGACCAAACTTTCTCAGAAGCTTTGTCATCAAGTGCCCTGACACATATTGCCAGGGTTTTGCAATTGGTATATATTTGACCTAATTATGGCCCTTTGTTTTTTTTCCTTATATAGAATATATAGTGAACAATTTCTTCTGTGCGCAACTCCTCCTACATTTCTCAACGGATTTTGACCAAACTTTCTTAGAAGCTTTGTTATCAAGTGCCTGGCACATATTGTCGGGGTTTTGTGATTGGATAATATTTGACCGAATTATGGCCCTTTGTATATATTTTCCTTATACAGAATATATAGAGAACAATTTCTTCTGTGCTCAACTCCTCTTACATTTCTCAACGGATTTTGACCAAACTTTCTTAGAAGCTTTGTTATCAAGTGCCTGGCACATATTGTCGGGGTTTTGTGTTTGGATAATATTTGACCGAATTATGGCCCTTTGTATATTTTTTCCTTATACAGAATATTATAGTGAACAATTTCTACAGTGCGCAACTTCTCCTACATTTCTCAATGGATTTTGACCAAACTTTCACAGAAGCTTTGTCATCAAGTGCCCTGGCGCTCACTAAATTCCCATGTTTCTTCCAAGACATCATTCAAGTTTTTTTTTAAATTGTGAACATACTTTTCTTGATATCGCACAAAACACCACACGCCAATATTGTTGACAAAAGAAAATGACAAGAGACGCAAAAATGCACAAATTAAGCAAAAATAAAGTACTGTTTACCTTTCTAAAACATTTGGGAAAAAAAGGCGAATAGACAACATAAAATTTCTCAATCATTTTTGTTTGAGGAATACTAAAAAAGCCATAATTCCTCCTAAAAGTTGAATTAAAAACAAATGCCCCTTCATGACAAAGCTTCTGTGAAATATTTTGCTGAAAACCTGGTTGCATCGCATTGCGATGTTCCTTGTTTCTATAATTGGATGTAGCTTGGTAATTAATCAATGGATTATCTTCAGACTTGGACAAAACAACCTTTTGGACAAGACCTTCTAAAATGTTGAATTGACCTTGACATTGAGCTTTGCTGACCTTTACTGTCAAGGTCAAATTATTGAATTTTGGTTAAATTGTCATAATTTTTTTTTGTTATTTATGTACGGATTTGATTCATATGTGGACAAAACAACACTTGTGACCAAATGTACATGTTGAATAATTTAGGTATGACCTTGACCTTTGAATGACCTTGACCATCAAGGTTAGATGCTTGAATTTTGCTTACATGCTTATATTTTTTCAAATTTGTCATTTATTTATGGAAATGATTCATATTTGGTCGTGACTAAATTTTTTTTCAATAATTTTCTTTTTTTATTGATTTGTTTAAATCATTATTTTATTTGTTTGCTTTTAGAAAAAGTAAAAAAGTCGAGCGTTGCCTCCTCCAAGTGGTAGCTCTTGTTTTTTGTTGCTTTGATACATGACAATATGGTCACAATTTTCATCTTATCCGTAGCTTCAGCAAAAATCATACTTTATGATATAGTTAAGTGTGAAATTAATATAAAATTTCAGTATTTTTCTTATTTTACTTCAAACTAATGAAAAGTCAAGCGTGCCAACAGCAATAGCTGTGTTGTTTTCCTCCCATGTTTGTGGTACAGTAGATGTACCAGTTGATTCAGTGATAATCTCTAATCAGTGTAGTGCCTTGTGGAATTTAATTATGGTACCAGGGATAGGGAGTGGAAAGATATCTATATTAAGAAATATTAATGATTGCTGGGGAGAAATATTACAATTATAAACCACTCCGATGTTCATTTGTATTGTTACAAAATCCTGGTGTTCCTAATTTGTCATAATTGTATCCATCTAAAAACTGCTTTTGTTGAACAAAACTAAAGAAACTTGAAACCAAATGCTTTATATGGTAAAATGGTATTTGTTTATCTATACCTGAAAATAGCATTTAAAAGTTATTTTTTCAGGTAATAAAAATATCAGTTTTTGCTCTAATAATATTATACTGTTATCATTTGTAAGTAGAACTAGTTTTACTAACATTATAATTATGTTATTATAATTATTGTCAATGTTCTATATTATTGTGATGAATTTGAGTGTTAATTGATTTGTAAATGTGTTTATGGCTGATGTACTTGTGAGTGTTTGAAATACATGTAGTATGATCATTGTGAGTGTTTGAAATAGTATGATAATTGTAAGTGAATGAAATAGTATGATAATTGTAAGTGTTTGAAATAGTATGATAATTATGAATGTTTGAAATAGTATGATAATTGTGAGTGAAAGAAATAGTATGATCATAGTGAGTGTTTGAAAAAGTATGATCATTGTGAGTGTTTGAAATAGTATGATAATTATGAGTGAATGAAATAGTATGATAATTGTGAGTGTTTGAAGTAGTATAATAATTATGAATGTTTGAAATAATATGATAATTGTGAGTGAAAGAAATAGTATGATCATAGTGAGTGTTTGAAAAAGTATGATCATTGTGAGTGTTTGAAATAGTATGATAATTGTGAGTGAATGAAATAGTATGATCATAGTGAGTGTTTGAAATAGTATGATCATTGTGAGTGTTTGAAATAGTATGATCATTGTAAGTGAATGAAATAGTATGATAATTGTGAGTGTTTGAAATAGTATGATAATTGTAAGTGAATGAAATAGTATGATCATTGTGAGTGAATGAAATAGTATGATAATTGTAAGTGAATGAAATAGTATGATAATTGTGAGTGTTTGAAATAGTATGATCATTGTAAGTGAATGAAATAGTATGATAATTGTGAGTGTTTGAAATAGTATGATAATTGTAAGTGAATGAAATAGTATGATAATTGTGAGTGAATGAAATAGTATGATAATTGTAAGTGAATGAAATTATAAGTATGATAATTGTAAGTGAATGAAATAGTATGATCACTGTGAGTGAATGAAATTATAAGTATGATAATTGTAAGTGAATGAAATAGTATGATCATTGTGAGTGTTTGAAATAGTATGATAATTATGAATGTTCGAAATTGTATGATAATTATGAATGTTTGAAATAGTATGATAATTATGAATGTTCGAAATTGTATGATAATTATGAATGTTTGAAATAGTATGATAATTGTGAGTATCTGAAGTATGACATGAAGGTTTTTGTCATTGTTTTTTTTTCATAATTCAAATATAGAGTGTTTTAAAACATTATGTAATGCATGTATTAACATTCATGCAAAGTAATTGTGTTGTCATAAATAATTTTCCATATATTCAGGGCCCTGATTTCTATGATATGCTTTTGAAGTATCAGAGTAGACGCTATGAGGATCAGAGGTGCTCATTACCACTTGCTTTACAGGTCTGCCAACACGTAGCTCACCTATAGTTTGTAATATTGTTGTGAAAGGTTTATTTTAACCCCACCCATGTTATTATGTTGTGATAAACTAACTTAAAACACACAATTCACTGTGCTTCTTAGTTTGTTTAATCTAAGTCCATTCACATGGTGACATTTGCTCAGTATGTTCAGTTACCACACCTATATTGATATTGTGATTTATATGTTGTACCTGCCATTTATATATAGAGAATTTATGATCATGTTTAGTTTTTTGCTCCATCATTATGTCAGCATGATCAGTATGGATTTTCAATGTGTGAGACTGAATGAGGTATTTCATTATTTCACCTATTATATATTTTCCATGATTTGTATACAACTTCTGGTCATAGTTTGCTAAATTCTCATGAGAACCTTTAGGACATTTTGTTTGCTTAAATTTGACTTTAAATTGTTACATAAAGGATATTAAATGGCAGCCATCATTGCTCAAGTTTCTTATTAAGTAATGGACTTTTACTACATAAAAACTTTTTCTCCATTAGAATTGTTAACTTGTGGAACGAATTTCAGAACAATTAATACCTACAAATCACTGGAATGTTTTACTCAGAGCCATCGTCAACTATCTTACTCCCATCCAGAGTAATTGTAATTAGAACCTAAGTTATACTATTTAACTTTTTATCAATGTTAAAATGTCCTGAAAATAAAACAATTAGGACTTTAAATTTCAGCCTGTCATATATAATTGTTGCTGAAATTTAAGGGAGCATTATTAAATGAGAGCTTTAGGACTTTAAATTGCAGCCATTGTTGCTAAAATCTTTGAGAACATAGGAACTTTCATCTTATTTTATGAGAAAAGTAAGACTAAACTTGCAGCCATTGTTGCTACAATTTCTTGCAATTTTTGAATTTATTTATTTGATATTTTTGAAAATGGTTTCTTTTAACCTAGTTTAAATTAGCTAGTCCACTTTAACAGTGTTTTTATGTTGAACTAGCACCTAATCTCATAACCAACATTTCCACTTACAATTGTTCCAGCTATAGGTGACAGAAAAAATGTGGTATCTAAAATATCAGCATTCTGATGATGTTATTAATTTTCTTATAGAAATCAAATTTTATTTGTAATAATGACTGATTTTCACAATTTCTTTATGTTTATAGTCAACATAAAAACACATTTCTTAGTTTTAAGGAAAAGGGTGTTTTTTTCCTTCAAAAGTTCAGTTTTTCTGGTCTTTAAATTTTGAAATTTTTTCTCATTTGTCCTTGAAAAATCTTGTTTTTTTTTTATTTCCAGTAGCAAATGTCTGTAGTGAAATGATTTCAAGTACTCGGAGTAGTAGACAGAAATCACAGAGTTTTCATATTTAGCTGCTTTTTAGTTCTGTTATTATTGCAATTGTTGTTGTTATTTATACTTTTGTTGTTGATAAATTTGTCGTTTATATATACAGCACTGATACCTCTTTGAAGTGAACACAGGAACTAATATTAAAATTTACAATTTATTTTTGAACACTGGTAGTTTAATACTATAGATAGTAACATTAAACCTTTTGCTTTTAATTAAATAACAGGAAGATTGAAATATCACGTGTCATTAAGAAATAACGTGTACTTTTTGTCTTATATTTATTTGCTTTTTTTAATAAAATGTAGTCATGGTATTTTTTTAAAAAAATCCCAGCTATTTTATTTTTAAGAATATTAAAAAGAAACATTGCTAAGAAATTAAACAACTTCTCATCAAAGACATTAATAAGTGATCTTTCTTATAAGGAAATTGTCATGATAGTTTGAATTATTAAAAATTTATAATTCAATGTGACTTAATGTCTATTGTAGAAATAAGAAAAAAATATTTAATTGAGTATATATTTATTTTTTCAAATTTTGAAGCATTTTCAAAAGTGTGTTAAAAATTGTTTTTCTAGTAATGTAAGGGACTATGAGGAATAATAAAATGATTTCTTTTGAAAATGTTAAAAAAATGATGAGAATGCAGGATGCCTGTTTAAACAAGTTGTTTACATCTCAGACTTCAAATCTTTGCTGTACCAAGCTTGGTCGAGTAAGCTGTCAAATAATGGTAGGTTGAAGACTTGCACACTGACACAAAGTCTTCAATACTCCAGGGAAGAGCCTTGGTGTCTTCCACCACCAGCTCTATAAACGCAATGTACATAAACAAATCAGGCACAAATTAAGCTTTGTGTCAAGTATGACAGCATTTACTTGTTGATGTGTTACAATTGAAATAATATATCTCAAGCAGTAATTTTATCGATTTATAAAATCACTAATTCATATTTGGATGTACAGCATTATATCATATATCACTAATGAGCTGAAGCCCTTGTGATATAATTGATATAATTCTAAATTCCAAGCAGTGATTTGATTTAGCGATAAAATGTTTGGGGATTAATATTTCTTAAATACACAACAAAAGGAAGAAGAAAACAAATTTGTATGTCTTGATGTTAAAGCTTTTTGTGATAATTTTGTAGAAAGATTATACAGTACCAAACTTGTTATCCCTAGCTGGTAGTTGGTAAGAAACACTGATAGTAAAAGTAAGTAATAAAAGACAAAGTGTGACAGAGATCTCTGCTGGTGTAGAAGAGAGAGCTATATTTTACCCAGCAAGGTTATAATTAAACAGCATGAAACAGATTGACAATACCACATGAGTGGATCAAATTTGTTCTAGGAAATGTTGTCTGATGCTTTTATATAAGATACATTGTATTTCACTGTCTGATGCTTGTATTAGGTAGAAGCATCATTCTGCATGAATTAAGGAGACAGGGAGTGCTTAAAAATAGCATAAAAATGGCATTCCAGTCTAATTTGTAGCAATATTGCTGGGGAAATCACAGCCCTATACAAGGCAGTTTGTCATTTCTACTGTGCCAAGAAAATAAAGATCATATTTTACAAAATAATTTGTATGCATCATTGTTGCTCAAGATATGTTTGTTTGTGTAGTAAAGCTGTGACTTGCAGGCGTATAGTACACCTACATTGTTATGTTGTAAATGTTGATGACATTTTAAGCTAAGGTTAAGACAAGAGTACAGAAAAGTAAAGTAAAATAATATATTACCAAAATGGAATAAAGGGAGAGTTTTTGAGATGTCTCCAGGAGTACAACAACTATATACCACCCACATTGGCTGGAAGATATAACCTGTTTAAATTACATTAATTACTGATAGAAAAGAGAATTATTTCTTCTATCTGATGTGGGGGAGGAAGTAAATTGACACTGACAGTCTAGATCAAGGCATTTGAATGTCAAATATCTTTTATATTTCTCAACTAAATTAATTGTTTCCGTTAGAATATATAAGGTTAAAGATGTGTTTTTTATATAGTCTTAAGCTTCTAGATTTTCTTTTATTTAATTAAAAACATAATTTTATGGTATACCCTAATCATACAATATGATTGTTGCATTTTCATGGTTATAATTCTGTGTGCTGACTGTACTTGTTATGTTTAGAGTTAAAAAAAACAAAACAATAGCAGTACATATGTTAGAAAATTTTGTGCTGTTTTAAAATTCATGGCGGGTCACAAAATAGCTTAACATGCAAATTCAGTATTTGGTTTGTTAAACATGCAAAGATTCATGCATTCTGGAAAATGCAAAGCACATCATTAATTGTCAGGCCTGTTTCCTACAACCATTGTAATTATGAATCATTTGAAAAATTAATAACCTTTTGTTGCCTTTTCTCAGGGACATTTAATGCACATCAATACAATACAACTTGAATTATGTAAATATTTTTGCGCAAGTCATAAATTTTAATATACAAGTTATGAAATTACATCTTGTCTCTGTTTTGTGTTGCCAGTATAAAAATCTTATTCTAATGTGTAATTTCATTTTCATGCAAAATCAAGATTTTTTTGTTGAACCAACAAAAGATGTATTTAAGCAATTTTGTTTGTTTTACTTTGTAACCCCATGACAGTTCTAGGCACACTAAAGTAACCGTATATACACATGTACATGTGTTGTCCTTACTATAGTATTACATTGTCACTTCCTGTTTGTGTTACATGACTTAAGTAATATTTCAAACATTCATAAGATTTCCCCGAGGTTTGTATGTAGCAGATCTTAATATCTAAAGATTTATGGTCTTTTTCTTTTATTACATTTGGAAGCAAGGCAAACTTGATTAACACTTTGTAAAAAATATCATGACGATAAAAGGCAAAGAATTTCTTATTAATTCAATGATTTTTTTATTGAGAAGGAAAGTAAAGCACTGTCATGCTTTATAATATTGAGTACATGTTATTTGATTATGCTGTTCTAAAGTGTGTAATTTTTGTATTGTTTTATTTTCAGCTCAATACAGAAGATGCTTCACCACAGAAAAAAGACATAGATACCATTAGAGAGGTAGGTATTTGTATATCATATAAAATGTTGATGCTAAATTACAGCTTATGGTAACCTACATCATGGTGTCATAAAATTTAAAATATAATTATACCATCATCTCAGGTTATCACCTGTGTGGGGTCAACATTTCTCAAAGACATTAGCCATGTCCTAAATTTGATTTTTGTACATATTGAAACTGTTATTTTAATAACTTATCATAACTTTTCTCTATTCTTTTAAGTTATTGAGTAAACAGGGACCATATCCAATGGTACATTTGCCACCTGGTTGCTGTTTTACTATACACCCACCAGATCCTGGACCTGACCCTGGGGGACAGGAAGGGGCGGAGTCTAGACTACAGGGTTCACTCATAGAAAAAGATGAAACAGCTCATTGCTACAGAAAATATTTCCTTGGCCAGGTAAATGAAGAACAGAGATTTAATTGAATCAAATATTAATGCTCCATGTGTCTTTTGTATTATTTTTATTTATATATCAAACTGTATAGTGAAAATGTAATTGTTATAATAGCCCAAAAAACGAAGTTTTGGGGGTATATAGGAGTCACCCGGTGGTCGGTCGGTCGGTCGGTCGGTCCAGACGTCCGTTGCATTTTCCTTGTCCGGAGCATAACTTGAAGACTAATGGTTGGAATTCAATATAACTACATACAATGGTCAAGCACATTGAGAGGAAGTGCAGTGCACAAGAACCATAACTCTATCTTGACTAGTTACAGAGTTATTGCCCTTTGTTACTTTTCCTTGTCCGGGGCATAACTTGAAAACTACTGGTTGGAATTAAAAACAACTTCATACAATTGCCAAACACAATAAGGGGAAGTGCAGTGCACAAGAACCATAACTCTATCTAAAGTAATTACAGAGTTATTGCCCTTTGTTACTTTTCCATTGCTTTTTTTGTCCAGAGCATAACTTGAAGACTAAAGGTTGGAATTCAATATAACTTCATACAATGGTCAAGCACATTGAGAGGAAGTGCAGTGCACAAGAACCATAACTACATCTTGACTAATTACAGAGTTATTGCCCTTTGTTACTTTTCCTTGTCCAGAGCTTAACTTGAAAACTACTGTTTGGAATTCAGCACAACTTCATACAGTCGCAAGGACATTAAAAGGAAGTGCAGTGCACAAGAGCCATTACTCCATTTTGACAAAATACAGAGTTACTGCCCTTTGATACTTTTCCTTGTCCGGAGCATAACTTAAAAGGTACTGGTTGGAATTCAAAACAACTTCATACAATATTTAAGTACAATAAGAGGAAGTGCAGTGCACAAGAACTATAACTCCATCTACAGTATTTATAGAGTTATTGCCCTTTGTTCCTTTTCCTTGTCTTTCTGGACTTATTACAGAGTAATTCAATAAAACTTCATCAATGGCCAACCACATTGAAAGGAAATGCAACATACAAGATTTAATTGCCCACAACCATAACTCTATACAGTTGACTCTCGGTAACTCGAAATCCAAGGGACTGGGCATTTTACTTCGAGAGAAACGGAATTCGAGTAACGTGGAACTACTGCCATTACGTTGACATTCGTACATGTATATACATGTGCCTGAATGTGCAAAGAACTAGGTTTGTTATTGTTGTTAGCGGCAATGCTGCAATATTTAACCATTGAAATGACGGTAAATCACTTACAACTTCAAATTATAAATGAACAAAAATATATCATTCAAAATTTAATACATGTATATTAATTGTGAAACATAAACACACAATTATATTTGATTTAATTGATCATCGGACGAAAACGAAAGTAGCAACTACCGGAAGTACAAATTAATGTATGCAATATGACGGAACATTAATTATACAAATGTCATTAACGTTGATAACACACATCAATACCTAGGCTGTTATTTGACTAACACCCGTCAGACTGGCACGAGTCAACTTTCTTAAAGAAATGTTATTAAATTTAATTTAATTATCTAACAGTTAAAACCAATTAAGTCCTGAAACGGATTAAAGACACTTTTGCGACGTGTTAATAATACATGTTGACCGGCATTTAAAATTACTATGAAACGTGTGAACCAGAATGACAACATCTCATCTTGATGTCGCCGACCTTTCATCAGTCGACTGTTTTCACACTTCGACTAATTGAGATGAAAGTATGTTGGACTTTAATTGACGGGACCAAATTTTCTTTTCGACTAAACAGGAGTCGCGGTAAGTCAAAATTTGACCTAAGCGGAGTTAAAATACAAAGATAAAGAAGGAAAGTTGACGGGACTTTAGAAATTATTCGACTAAGGCGGAATTTTGAGTAAAGCGATTTTGACTTATTGAGAGTAAACTGTATTTCAATTCTTCTACAAGGTATTCTGTTACTAGTAACATCCTCATTTCCGAAGCAGTCTTGTGGGGGTATTAATCACATTAAATGATAGTTCTAGTGTTTATTAGGTGACAAAGATATTTACAATAATTAAATTTTCTCTAGTAAAAGAGACTTTGAAATGTTCTCATATTATTTGATATTATTAGAAATTGTGCAAGTTGTAAAATAAAATGTTGGTTAGAATTTGTCTTAAGCTGGTTTTGTTGAAGGAAATCCATTTATAAGTTTTGAACTGCATACAGGATTATTATGTGTAATATCATTATTTTCATTTGTGAATGACTGAAAAAGTTATATTTTCTTTGCTTTGCCGTTTTTTTTCATTTTAATTTGTAACTACTGTGATAATCAATTTATTAATAAATATTGTATGATTTACATTTCAGGAGCATTTTAATTGTTATACATTAGACGAGAATGTAGGACCTATGATTCTGTCCTTTAAAGAAGAATTCCGAGATGAACAGTCGAGTATACGGGTAATGTTAAGGTAGGATAATCTTAATCTCACTCTCAACATATGAGCCGCGCCATGACAAAACCAACATAATGGGTTTGCTTACAGACCCTATAACAAGTAAAGAAACTGATAGCGAACAGCATGGATCCTGATCAGACTGCGCGGATGCACAGGCTGGTTTGGATCCATGCTGGTCGCAAACCCATTATGTTGGTTTTGTCATGACGCAGCTGAGCATATTATCTGCATAATTAACACACTGAAGATCTTTTTTTTCTACTTTTTCTGTAAACATCACTGCACAATAGTTAATGTGCAGCAAAGATTTTGTTCAGCTGATTTATATTTTGTTTGATTTTTAGAATCTTATTTTAATCAAGATTCAAACATAGAATTTGAAATTAGTTTGTGTGGTAACTGCTATTTTATCATTTGAATATTGTTTTCCAAAACTTTGTTAAATTTATTTATTATTTTCTTTTTATTAATTTTGCATTGAGTGAGTGTATTGGTATAGATTTTACCTATACATGTACAACTTTTAGTAAGACAGAACATAATGAATGATTTCAGGACAAGACAATGTACACAACACAATGTTTTCCCTTTGAATTCCGTTGGTGAAGTACCTAGTCCCATGAGATTGGCAAAGGTAAGTGGAATAATGTTTTCTGAGAGTAAATACATTAATCATTGACATAATGAATGAAGATAAATACTGGTTTAATTATTGCAATTCAAAACTTTTTTTATCACAAATACATGTTTATTGCAAAGTATAAATTATTCAATTATTTCACAAACAAACAACACAATGCATGGATAAAAAAAAAAATCAGTAAATTGATAAAACTTGAATGGAGTCTTGTGAGTGGTTAAGCGTCACTATGATCACGGCTTTGGACCTTGGATTCTGTCATATAGGGAAACTATCTTGCCAGCTTGCCTACAGTTGGACACCCTCATCCTGTGACTGGACTTGTGCCTGAAATTATGCTTAAATGATCATATTGGGTTATCTACCACCAGACAAGCTGGAATATTGCTGTAATTATGACCAAGACAGTATTAATGTGACACCCAACAATTAACACTGATAAAGTTAGACAAGTTTTTCAGAAAGTTGCTTTTTCATCTCTAGAAAAACCAAATGAGTTGAGTCATGACAAAACCAACATAATGGGTTTGCGACCAGCATGGATCCAGACCAGCCTGCGCATCCACACAGTCTGATCACGATCCATGATGTTTGCTTACAAACACTATTACAAGTAGAGGAACTGATAGCGAACAGCATGCTGGTCGCAAACGCACTATGTTGGTTTTGTCATGACGCAGCTTTCTGTTGCAATACTGATATATAACATATATAAAATTATGTCAAAATACTAGAATTGTATATTTACAGTTAATGTGTGAGGAGTATAGTGGTGAGAGGTTCCAGCCAGTGTTGACCACTAAAGGCTCAGAGATGATTGTACAATATGATGAACATAGACTCACCAATAACTTCAAATTTGGAATCATCTATCAAACATTTAAACAGGTTACATTAACTTTACTGTATAATTAGATGATTTTATTCATTATAACCTTGATATTTGTATTATTGTGGGAACCTATTGTTGTATGTCACAGTCAGACATGCTGGTGTGTCACACTAATCAAATGATGTCACAGTGACATACTTTTGTTAAGCATTAGTGTCACTACTGTTAGTCACAATATCACGTTAAATGTGTGCGGCAGTGGGCACACCCATGTCTTATCAATGAGCTGATATCTTTTTATAATATATGAGCCGCATCACGACAAAACCAACATAATGGGTTTGCGACCAGCATGGATCCAGACCAGCCTGCGCATCTGCTCAGCCTGATCAGGATCCATGCTGTTGGCTTACAAACCCTATAACAAGTAGATAAAATAATAGCGAACAGCATAGATCCTGATCAGACTGTGCGGATGCGCAGGCTGGTCTGGATCCATGCTGGTCACAAACCCATTAAGTTGGTTTTGTCGTGACGCGGCTCATATGTATCTTCTAAACATATACTGTCAATAATCATTTAGAATTTATTGTGACTACATACTGCCTTGATAAATAGCACACATTTTCTAGATATCCCAGTTTCGAGTTAGTTTTAAGTTTTTACACTTGCATGTACTTTTATTTCACTGAAAAGGCTTTCTCTTCTAAGTTGAAGATTTCCACAAGGCAAATCTTTTTATCATTGTGTTATTAAAATTGTTAATAATTGAAAAAGGCAAGTGTAACTCTGTATCTTTGCCATAATAATTAAATATGTAACCCAACATTTTACCATATATAAAGTGTCCTTTTGCCATATATAGCCTGACCTTTTGCCAAATAATAATTTCTTGAACTATTCATTATAATAATTGTTGAAGATATTGACTTTACATGTTCATTATTTAAAACAACAGATGTTGAAAACCTTCTGTATGACAAGAAATGTGTTGCCATGGCACTAAACCTTATAAAATCTGTTTAAAAATTCAAAAACTAGCAATATTCAGAGGGGAAAAAGTACCATGTTTTATAACAGTATTCAAATCACCATACCATGTGTTCTGTGGAATGCAGATATGTAAATGAGATGCATTAATAGAATGAGATAGGTTGAGAAGTACAAGAAACATGTCATGTGGAGAGATGCTTGTGTGAAATAATGGATCACTTGTTAATGAGAAGTTCATTTAATATTGTTAATGTTTGAACTACACTGGTTTGAAATCACATAAAGCTTAATGTTTTCTATTTAATTTTATGGGTATTTTCTAGTTTATCTGTAGCAATTCCATAAAGAGACATTGAACTTGACTAAAATGTCTCGAAAAGTTTTTCATTGTCTCAGTAGCATTTATATAATTATGTAGGGTTTACATGCAATGCCCCCGGGGGCTAAACATTTTCCAAAAGGGGGGCTATTATCACAACACAGTTTTTCCTAAATAAAAAAATGACTGTAAATACATTTAGTGTTAGCAAGTGTTGTTAACAACATTAAAAAATGTTAAGATTTTAAAGTTCAGATTATACATATTTGTGTTTACTATAAAATACTATGGATTCTGAATGATTTGAATAAAATTATGAAGTCTTTTAATTATGAGTTCAGCACTGATGAGTAGATTGTTTTCCTTATCAAAAGGCCTGGGGGGCCTTTATTAGGGGAGGGGCGTTTATTAGGAATTTTACGGTAATTTCACTTTACCGTAACTTGCTAATACTGAAATACCCGAAATCAACAACGGATAATTCTCAATTCAAAATGGGGCAGGTCCATAACAAAAATACAGCAAAATAGTTTATGGTTCAAATTTTTGAAAAGCTATTACAAAGTAAGAAAATTGAAGAATGCTTTATAAAAGATGACTTGTATCATTATTATTGTTATTATTATTATTATTATTATCATTATTATTATTTTTATTATTATTGTTACAAAATTCTTTGTTTTAATTTAGATTCTAGCAAGAAATTTTTCAATTTTACTGGTATAAGAGCCTTTGATGTCCAGGAAAACATCTGAGCTAAAAATAGAATTCCCTGCGGGTTTGAGACAAGATCTGTTTCTATCACCACATGTTAGAAAAATGGAGAATTGTCTGGTGCAATTTGATTGATGATTTATTAAATGTCTATTAGATATTTATAATCATTAGGTTGTCTATGGAAGGGGGGTGAATGTCTCTGATATACTGTGTGATATATAACTGTTAGACTGACATCCTGGAACAGTTTTGTCAGCAATTTATGAAACAATTTGGTCTGCTTTACTATTTTTATGGCTTGTGAGACTTATTTTATAAACCACTGGGTGATAATGGTTTTGAAATTGAGAAAAATGGTTCCATAGTATTATGTATTTCAAGATAAATCATTGGTACTTCCTAAATCTTGATGTATTTTAAAAATGAAATTTATGGTACAAAATAAATCTCCTTATAGTATTAAGTAAAGTGATATCTATGGAATCACAGGTGTGGTTGTTGTATTATTGTTTTATTTTAGAGTTTTGTAAGCTATTAAAAAATATGTAAAAACAAATTTTTACACAATGTTTTTATCGCAGACTAAAGAAGAAGAATTATTTGGGAATATTCATCACAGCCATGCGATGGAAGAATTCCTGAAGTGTATTGGTGAACATGTACAGTTACGGAACTTTGAGGGATATCGTGGTGGGCTGGACACCATTCACGGACAGACTGGTCAGGAATCTATCTTCACGAAATTCCACAATCGTGAGATAATGTTCCATGTATCAACAATGCTCCCCTATACTGAAGGAGATACTCAGCAAGTATGTTATATATACTTTATTCTTACCTTTATTGTAATCAAGTAACAAATGTTTTGTATTCTCATTGGTATAATTATGTCATGGGTTTCTGAAAACTTTCTGTGTGAGTTTTTCAGTCACCCTTGAAAGAAAGATGTGAAAGCATGCTATGTAAAGGGAAGTGCAAAGCTCATTACCAAAATTTGGCTACAGTATATAGTGAAAATCCAGATTAACTGACATATTTTGTTTTAACTTTAAACTGTAGTTACCCTGCTGGAACATAAGGTATGATAAGCCTTAGCCATAAAAGCTGGGACATCAATTTTGTCTAAATTAAGACTACATGGATGTCACAGTCTTGTAAACATTTTGCTGATTAACTTCAATTCTGATCTTGTTATCCCCAAATTTGATAATGGACAGTTCTTAAAATAGAAGCTGGACAAGTCCATTTAAGAAATTCAGCTGGATATGGTTTAAAGAAAATAATTGATTTAATGTACATTTGCAAAAAAAAAATTACTTGAAGATTGCATAATTGTGAGGGAATGAATCTGTTACTGGCATTTTGTACTCTGTAATTATTTGCCTTAGTGCACACAGTTCCATTAAACCTTAAATAGTTTTTTTTACCTTAAGGACTTTTTTTTGATTACTTTAGCAAAGATAATTCGGTACAAGTAATTAACCGAAGGGAAATTTTAACCAAAATTTTATTCTATGAAAAAATCCCAGGCAAAACATTAAATCACAGGCACATTATCATGTACATTCTGAATATTTAATTGTTTATAAAGTTAATTTTCTAATTGATTTATTTTCTTCACAATGAATTGTTTTCCTAATCACAAACCTTGCCACATTTTTTATATTTTATCAGCAGTTCTGAGATTCTTGTTTGTTTGATTGGTTTTTTTTGTATCATATTATGAATATATTCTCAAATTTGACCTATAGTGCTTTGACTCTTTATTTCATAGAAATCAACAACACAATTTATATGTTTAAGTTTTTAAAGTCGATTAAGTTCAAAGAAAATATGCCAATTAGTGGGTAATTGTCTTTAAGATTGTCACACAGAAATGAGTGTGCTTGATTCCAAGATAAATTTGAAAATTTCTAATTATCTTGCATTGTTAGCTGATATAGTGGAGATGAAAGTTTGTATTATTGTATTACTGTAGACATTTCTCATTACAGTGTATATACTTATATAACTTGTATTCCCTAGTGGTATACTCATCTTGAAGACAATTTCAGCTTTTCAAAATAACTTCACAGCTGTATATGTCTGCTAGAAAATTATTTCATTGAATATAGAGAAACGACAAAGGTTATTTAAAACATTTTCTTTAAAACATACTCTGTTGCAAATTGTCTGTGACAACAAATTATTACTTCAGACAGATGTAAGTTAATATTACTTAAATTGCTAAAATAACCACAATTGTAGCTTTTCTTTATTTTCTATACAGTATTGTTGATATGTTACTTCTCAACATTTAATCTCCTGGTCTGTAATGGACTTCTCCTGCTTCTATATTTGGAACTATTCATTATAAATGTTGGGGTAATCAGGATGAAAAAATAATCAGTCAGTGTTCGAGACAGGTCAAAGTGCATCAATGGTGGAAAGTCGCCAATTACATTAGGTTCCAGCTGCTTAAGGGTGATAGTATGTGTGTTTATATAAACTTTGGTTAATAGGTTAACCACTTTTAAATTTAATATTTTTTGTAATAAACACCATAGATTATAAGTCTTCTGTTGTTTTGAACTGTTTTATATTGTTTGACGTAATGGTATACAACATGTAATAATTTACATTTCAGTTACAAAGAAAACGTCATATAGGAAATGATATTGTTGCCATAGTCTTTCAAGAAGAGAACACGCCATTTGTTCCGAGTATGATAGCGTCCCATTTTCTACATTGTTATATAATTATACAGCCCATTAACCCAAACACAGACCATACACAATACAAGGTATGTACATATTTAAACATGTATATTTCCTCTTTACATAATGTGTACATGTATTTTAGAACTGTCATCTTTTAGTATAATTTATTTGTATGCAGACCTATGTTACCAATTTGAGGTTGGACGAAATTGGAGATAATAAAAATTAATACAAAATTAATATTTTATAGCTTTGTTCATTACCTGTCCTGCCCATGAAATTTCCAGTATGACTTAAACATTTTTTAAGTGATACAATTTTGGAATAAAAATTTCTGCGCCCATGAAATCTCCTTAAGACAAACATTGCCCTAGTCCCTACCATGAAAAATTACTTGTACTGGAAGAAAATAGTTTCGAACATTACCAATATCAGTCTGTAGTTTGCTGTCATTTGCAATAAATTGTGATTATAAAAAGTGATACATGTTTATAAAAGTTATATTTTACAATCAGGTAACAGTCACTGCCAGAGAGGATGTGCCATATTTTGGACCTCCAATTCCACAGGATGGTATTTTTAGTAAGGTATATATAAGTTTTATAAATGCATTATCTTTTTCACAGAACAGAACAGAACATATATTTTATTTTGAATTAAGCATATTATCTTTTAAACCTGTTCAGACTAAATATCTTAAATTGACTGGTCCATCTTTCAAACTGGTCAACATTTTTAGAGAATATTTCAAAATAAATACTGACTGAACAGCACACAGTGCAAGCATGGATGTGCAAGCTGATCTTGGTCTGCACTGGTTGCATGAGTATATTAAGTTTCGACCAGCAGGGTTAAAGGTTAAATCATTATAAACTTAAGCTACTATTTGTTTGCATGCAGGGATTATGCTTTATACATGAATACTTAACGACAATATTGGCATATTTGACTCGCTCCAGAAACAAAATGTATCAATAATTATTTCATATTTTGAATTAGCTTGGAAATAAATGTTATATTATATTTAGGTTTAGTGCCTCTGATGTTTAAAGAATTTGTACATCATTTTAGTGACCATTTTTTGTGTTGACAAGATTTGTATATGATGTTTCAGGGTCCTGAATTCCGGGAATTTATTCTATCCAAGTTGCTCAATGCAGAACTAGCATGCTATAAAGCCGAGCAGTTTGCTAAACTAGAGGTTTGTATAGCACACAAGTATATATCCATAATTTTATAAAACCAGAAAATATCTGATATATAAGATCTCAAGGAATGTAACAGAGATTCATAGAGATTCATTATATGATACTTGATCATTTAGGGTCGTACAAAATATTTTAAGTTATATTTGATCATTTGTTATCATATCACAGATTTAAATTGTATTTGATCATTCAGTGTCATACAACAGATGTAATAGTTATATTTGATCATTCAGTATCATTAAACAGATTTATTTTATATTGATCATTCAGTATTATACAACACATTTAGGTTATATTTGATCATTTAGCATCATACAAGAGATTTATGTTAAATTTGATCATTTAGTGTCATACAAGAGATTAATGTTATATTTAATCATTTATTGTTATACAAGAGTTTTAAGTTATATTTAATAATTTAGTGTCATACAACAGATTTATGTTATATTTGATCATTCAGTATTGTACAACACATTTAGGTTATATTTTATCATTTAGCGTCATACAAGAGATTTATGTTATATTTGATCATTTAGCATCATACAAGAGATTTATGTTATATTTGATCATTTAGCATCATACAAGAGATTTATGTTATATTTGATCATTTAGCATCATACAAGAGATTTATGTTATATTTGATCATTTAGGATCGTACAAGAGATTTATGTTATAATCATACAAATAATTTATGTTATATTTGATCATTTAGGATCGTACAAGAACAGCATTGTTAGATTGTTTATACCAAGATCTACAAAGAAAGAGCTGTGAAATGTTTGGTATCAGTATACCATCCAGCAGTAAGGAGGGTGCCAGGTTTATTGATTCGTTCAGAAGAACGTTTGGAGGACGGTCCAAACAGTCAAATGATCCTTCCACGCCCACAAATTCAAGTCGTAAATCTAACGGTTCACAACTGTCGACAGTAGGTGAAAATGAGAAGGTATGTTTAATACTGATGATGATCATTTTATATACTCTACTTATAGTAGTAATTTTCTGCCAAGTGTATAGAATTTGTATTTACTCCTTCATAAAACTATAATGTTTCCCTACTTCTGTCTTTTCCAAGTCTTTTATGATTATTTTTATATAGATGTAAACTTCAATCTTACTGTTTAAATTAGAATTTATGATAAATATGTGATGAAAATAATGTTTATATTCTATACTACAGCAATTTATTGTCCTAATACATTATTCTAGCAGCTGTGAAAAGCTCTTTACAGAAAAGTATGCATTATTTTTTTTAAATATTTATCATATACATAATGTGTGTTTATAGAAATTAGCACTTAACTTACAGGTTTCCCCATCTACTCCGAAGAAAGGGCTGCATTTTACCAATTCGAGTAGTTTAGAGAGACAAAAACATAAAGATAAAAAGTGAGTAAATTAAAGTATAATGTTAGATTGTATCCTAATTCTTTAGTTGATAAGTTTGTACACAGATAGTTTTAGCTTGACTATTGGAAGAATAGGGAGAGCTATAATTGTACACCCCATGCTGGGGGTCACACATTGGTTAAGTTTTTATGTGCCAAGTAGGTGTCTCCAAACAACTGAAGGGAATGAGTTGAAACTGCACATACTTATTTACGAAAATGATAAGGTGGTCACTTTCTGATACCTTTAATTTGGATTTTGACAGAATTATTGTCTTGTTTCAACTTTGAAATTCTACATTATATATGCTCTTGTGTTGCTATCAAGCACTCAGAATAGTCCACTCCAGCACACTGTTCTTCTGACAGTTTCTGTTTATATTTCAACTTTTTACATCGGTCATTTTCTCTGTTTATTTTTCAACTATTTTCATTGGTCATTTTCTCTATCAATAGATATTACAATAGATTGACTTTATTTCAATCCAATCATCTGATCAAAGTTTAAAAACCTTGTCCTGTCTCTTAGATTTACAAGTAAGAGCTGTCATTGGTCAATTTCAAAGTTGTGATTCAAAAACAACTAATTAGATATTTCTGTTTTGGGGAGAATTTCAAATTAATTTATATTCAAATACTTCTTGCTTGTTTATTTTTTTCTGACCAAATTTTTTTTTTTAATTGCACAATTTTCATACCTTGTAATCAGAATGCTGTAAGTTAGCAATGCTCTCAGGACATAAGTTTTATGCCTACTGTATTTGTTTTGCATATCAGACTGGATTCTTTATTTATCATCCAGTACTGGAAAATGACATATTACACCTGGTGCAAATTAAAGTCCTGTGTTTTAAAATAACATCATCATCCTACCACCTTGTTAAATGAGTTGTTTGTTTAGAATGATGTCATTCTGCTGTTATGAATAAAGTTGTGAAGTTCGCTATTGAAAGAAAAAAAAACTCTAAAAAAATGTTGTTTTTATGATTTCTTTCTGAGCTATAATTAGTATAAGATATGCATTAAAAAGAAGAATCAAACACTTGCTGTTGTTACAGAAGGGAATATCTATGTCTTGTGATAATTGTTAATTGCAAACACAGCAGAATCTTGTGAGTGCCTTTATTAGTTTAGTTTCCCTCAAGTCAGATATTTTGTACCAACAGCCGGTGTTAAATTCTTAAGATCTCATATACCATGGTAATATATTACAGTTTTTGTATGCATATACATGTATTCTCTGATAAAGAATGCTGTAAGATTAAAAGAATTTCAAAGCATGATAGTTAAAGCATTGTTTTTATTGTATTTTACTAACATGACTTATAACTGATATTTTACAACACTTAGGTTACATGTGGAAACATATTTTATATGAACTGATTATGTATAGTTTGCTTGATGCCAGGAAATATTTGCAAATTGAATTATTATTTTTATTGTTAATAAATATCACAAAAATCATGCTTAGAAATATTGTTATGCAGTCTTTTTACGAAATATTGTTATGCAGTTTTTAGTGAAGAAACACAAATAAAAGAAACAAGAAGAAACACTTATAAATCATACTTGTGTTGGTGTTTTGATTTATAAAGTAATAACTACATCTTCCACACAATTTTGTATTGATCAACCTATTACATATGATTGTGCTGATCAACTTCTTACACTTGATTGCAGTTAACTACATCTTACACTTGATTGAATTTAACTACAACTTACACTTGATTGAATTTAACTACAACTTACACTTGATTGAATTTAACTACAACTTACACTTGATTGAATTTAACTACAACTTACACTTGATTGAATTTAACTACAACTTACACTTGATTGAATTTAACTACATTTTACAATTGATTGCATTTAACTACATCTTACAATTGATTGCATTTAACTAAATCTTACACATTTTTGATAGCATTTAACTACATGTTACACTTGATTGCATTTAACTACATCTATCATTTTATTGCAGTTAACTACATGTTACACTTGATTGCATTTAACTACATCTATCATTTTATTGCAGTTAACTACATGTTACACTTGATTGCATTTAACTACATGTTACACTTGATTGCAGTTAACTACATGTTACACTTGATTGTGTTGCTGTGCATCTTTTCACTATCATTGTATGTATGTTTTGTGACATGGCTGTGCTTTCATGCTTAAATAAGATGATGCAAGCTTATATTTGTGGAAATATGATTGTTTGGTTATGTCTAAGACAACCTGATTGTCATTGTACACATATTCTGAGTTATTAGCATCATCAGCATTTTCTATGTGTGATAATTACATTAATTTGTCATTGATTTACATTTTAAAATAGTGCATGGACCAAAAAATTATAATGTTAAAATATCATCTTTTATGTTAGTGTATAATCAGATATGAGAAGTCTATAAGGATTGGTTACAGAAAGCTGGTCTCTACTTGTGTTTTAAAATATAATACACATATTATGGGCACATCTGGTCTCCACCAGCTAATCTAGAAAGAACTGGTATAATGTTAAATTCAACATTTATGATGCATGTATCTGTATAATATTGTATAAATATGAAAGTATTTACTATTTGTAAAGAAAAAATATATATGAATGAATTTTTAAGGACTTTGCAATGTAAAGGTACTGCTTATTAGCTATAGTTGCAAGTATTTAATATTGTAAGTATTTCCTGGCATTATTTGTGTTGCAGTTTTTACTCTTACCCCAGTCTTACCATGTGATCCTTTTAATCCTAAATCTTTACCCATAATGCTTTTTGTTGCTTATAGCGCACACCGATTGGATAGTTTGAGTACCCAGTCATCCTACAGGACTTGCGGTAGTGCCCCATCTAGTCCCCAGTCTAGTCCTAGTAGTTCTTCATCATTATCACGGTAAGATAGAGTTACTTCCCATATATGGTTAGTGGGAGTTACTTAACTTTACAGTGAAGAATGTTTTTGCCTCTGTAAAGTTTAGGAGTTACAGTAACCTCTAAAGGAGTTAACCTAGCTCTGATGATATAAATATGTCTAAGCATTGACAGTGCTACTTACGTTTACAGAAATTATATTGGGATGACAGGGGTTGGTAGGAAGTGTTTTCATAATACAAATCTAATTCTTTTTTCAGATATAGTGATCTAATTTACGCAATGATTCATTATTATTTGATAGATTAAAAAACAGTCAAAGTTTTCCCTTATCATGCACTATGGTGTCTGGTTTAGTGTTTCAACTGACCTATCTCAATATACTTTCCTAAACTTTATGTTCAACATAGTGACCAGGTAATTTAGCTAAATTAACATTAACAGCATGAATATTTGCAGCATATAAATTTAGTCATTTCTAGAATTTTATATTGATGAAAAATGGTTAGGAATATATGAACTAATTTACCTAGAACAGAATAGATTCTAAGGGTATACAAAGTAATTAAATAATACTGGTTGCTAAAGTGGTGGGCCACAATAAATACTGTGAAATGTTTTCTGATTTCTTTTGTCAAATCATACAGAGATCTGAAATGGTCAAAAAAATGATAAAGATGCTGATAACTAAGCAAATTCAAAAGGAAATTAAGTAGTACATGTACAAGTATGAAGTAATGTTTAGTTATTGATTATTGGCAGGTTCAAGGTTAAATCAGATTTGACCTTGTATCTTTAACATAATTATGTGCTACATGCTTGTTACATAAAGGGGAATAGTTCAAATTATAAAACATTGATTTTATTAGTCTTTTAAAAGTTATTATGGAGACAAATGTAAGCTGTTTATAATTTGAAGAACCTTTTCATACTAGTGACATGCTTAGTAATAGATCAAGTCTATTGTCATTTTGTTGTTAAGGTCAAATGTCAAGGTCATCAAAAATATTAGTGTTGAATCTGTCGAACTAGCTATTATCAAAATTATTGCCCTAAAGAGAAACATATTGTCTTGTTTATGTTGGTTTTAAAGTTAACAAAGTGTATCTTGGTCTGTTTATACCTGAACTCTTAATACCTGAATGGATATTTTTTTACTTAATTAACCTTTTATGGGTAGATACATCTATTGCCATGCATTTATATTCTTAGTTTCAATTAAAACTAATTGCTAAAATTTGCACGCAATATATACATATATATTTTGTTAACCAAAGAATTGTTAATAAATTAACATTTTAACTATAAGTGGAAGTACAGTTATAATATATTTCTGTGTTTTCTTGTAGACTTCAGCATCATCCACAGTTGTCACCATCAAACTCGGAGTCCAGTTTTAATTCATTAGAGGACTTTACACCAAACACCAATACACAGTGTCATGAAGATTCTGATACTGGAATGGTGAGTCAGTGTATTTACTTCAAGTCTGTAAAGTTTAGATCTTTTGTGAAAGTACAGAAAAGTTTTTGGTTATAAAATGTCCCAGTTTTTTACCTTAACCCTTTACCTCATATATACGCAAAACAACGCACTCTCGACCCCCCCCCCCTTTTTTAGGCCTGAAATAGTGAAAAAATATTCTATTTGGGCCCCAAACACATGTTTTCGTTTGAGAAATGTTGCTTAAAAAAAGTGAGCACTTTTTCCGCGGCGCCCCCCATCCAAAAGGTACATTAGGGGGTTGCCAGAAGGGGGATGGGGGCAAGAAGGGGGATATGTGCCTCTGTTAGGGGGGTTTGAAGGGGGGCGGGGCCCCCCTCATCGCCAAGAAAAATTTGGACTTGTGAGAGGCTAAAAATGACCCCAAGTCGATCATAATGTAATGTGTAACCAACGCTGAAAAGCCTTTGACTCTATCTCAATCCCTTGAGAAGTTGCAGCACTTTGAAATAAATTTTGATGGAAAAAATCGAGGCAAAATAGTGATTTTTGGCAATTTTGAGATGTCCCCTCGTTGCCATGGTAACAGGAAATTTAAGACTGAGCATGTCGTTACAAAGGCAATGGTCCAGTCAACATTTGTGCCAAGTTTGTTTATTATTGAAGCATTTTTCATAGTTTCATAGCAGTTTGAACTTGTAACAGGAGGCTTTTCAGTGAAAATGGCCATTTTTCACAATAAAATAAAATAATGCTCATGGGGGAAAGGGTTAACTAAAAAAATTATAAATGTTACAAAACAACAATTTTTCACCAAAATTGGGTGAAAGACCACAATTATGTTAACATGGAAAAACTAGTTTTAAGGTGATTCCAAAGTTTTTCATCATTTTTTGTTAACCCTTTATTACGCGAAACAACGCACTTTCGACCCCCCCCCCCCCCCCCCCTTTTTTAGGCCTCAAATAGTGAAAAAATGTCCTATTTGGGCCCCAAACACATGTTTTAGTTTGAGAGATGTTGCTAAAAAAATTGATCACTTTTTCGGTGCTTGTAAATCAGGGGGTTGCCAGAAGGGGGATGTGCCCCCTTCTGTTAGGGCAAAATAGTGATTTTTGGCAATTTTGAGATGTCCCCTCATTGCCATGGTAAAAATTGAACTTGTGAGAGGCTAAAAATATGTGCATTCATTTTATATAAAATCAATTTTTTATAACCTACCTTTATGGTTAAGGTTGTTGACTTCAAACCACTTGCCCCTCACTGCTGTGGGTTCGAATTCCTACAGGGACTTTGGATTCTTTCATGTGAGGAAGCTATCCAGCTAGCTTACGGAACGTTGGTGGTTCTACTCAGGTGCCGGTTCGTGTCTGAAATAATGCACGGAAGGGCACCTGAGGTCTTCCTCCACAAGTAAAAGATGGAACATCGCCAAATGACCTATACTTTGTCGCTGTGATGTAAAATCCAAACAAAACCTCCCTTTATTTACATGAAATGTTAAATTCGGTAATATCTTTATTAATAATGCCTTTTTGGAACTAACAATGTTGATAAATCTTAATTTGAGCATTTATGGTTTAAAACCATAAAAAAATTGTGAATGTGAAATTTGCTGTTTTGTTAGGTTTTAACAATTGTTTATGTGCTTTGCTAAATTTCAATAGGAGTCTGTTCAGATGACTCTCTCCATGTGTCTGAAATGTTTAACTTGTGACGGTAACTTGGAACTGTGGCAAAAGAAAAAAAACAAATTTGCTGTCTGTATCCTTAACAATTTTAAATTGAAAGGTGGTAATAGTTAAAAAGTAAACTTGTAAAAAAAGATGGTATATTGGCTGTTATGCAATTGTTACATTGTGGAACAATGGTATGTTGGCTGAACATGTATTTCATTGTTACTTTATGAAACAATGGTATGTTACCTGTACATGTATATCATTGTTACATTGTGGAACAATGGTATGTTACTTGTACATGTATTTCATTGTTACATTATGAAACAATGGTATGTTACCTGTACATGTATTTCATTGTTACATTATGAAACAATGATATGTTACCTGTACATGCATTTCATTGTTACATTATGAAACAATGGTATGTTACCTGTACATGTATTTTGTTACATTATGAAACAATGGTATGTTACTTGTACATGTATTTCATTGTTACATTATGAAACAATAATATGTTACCTGTACATGCATTTCATTGTTACATTATGAAACAATGGTATGTTACCTGTACATGTATTTCATTGTTACATTGTGAAACAATGAAATGTTACCTGTACATGTATTTTGTTACATTATGAAACAATGGTATGTTACCTGTACATGTATTTCATTGTTACATTGTGGAACAATGGTATGTTACCTGTACATGTATTTCATTGTTACATTATGAAACAATGGTATGTTACCTGTACATGTATTTCATTGTTACATTGTGAAACAATGGTATGTTACCTGTACATGTATTTCATTGTTACATTATGAAACAATGGTATGTTACCTGTACATGTATTTCATTGTTACATTATGAAACAATGGTATGTTACCTGTACATGTATTTCATTGTTACATTGTGAAACAATGGTATGTTACCTGTACATGTATTTCATTGTTACATTATGAAACAATGGTATGTTACCTGTACATGTATTTTGTTACATTATGAAACAATGGTATGTTACCTGTACATGCATTTCATTGTTACATTATGAAACAATGGTATGTTACCTGTACATGTATTTTGTTACATTATGAAACAATGGTATGTTACCTGTACATGTATTTCATTGTTACATTATGAAACAATGGTATGTTACCTGTACATGTATTTCATTGTTACATTATGAAACAATGGTATGTTACCTGTACATGTATTTCATTGTTACATTGTGGAACAATGGTATGTTACCTGTACATGTATTTCATTGTTACATTATGAAACAATGGTATGTTACTTGTACATGTATTTCATTGTTACATTATGAAACAATGGTATGTTACTTGTACATGTATTTCATTGTTACATTTATGTACAGTATTAATGTTCTATGTTATTATTGTGTTATAGGAGAGCATGTCATCCACGGGTACACCAAATACTCATATCAAAACATTCATGTCCAGTAGTTACAATGAGGAGTGCTGTACATGTCCTGATACTAGTACTACAGGTATGATATCTATATATGCTGAACAGATAATAGATTATGATAAATAATTATATAAATCAACTGAATATTTACTGATATACTGAATGATCATACTGATTTTAGTCTGAAAAGTAATACAGATTATACAAATCAACTGATTAATGATGCTAAATATAAGTAAGATTAGTTAAACAGAATAATTATTCTTAAAAGTTTCAATTGTCAATAATCTTGCTCCAACTACAGATGGTTTATTTCTATTATTGTACAGAGACCACTTGTATATAAAGGACATTGCTTTAATTGCATTCTAATCTTGTTACTGAAAAAATGTTCAAAACATACAGGTTACGGATTGATAATGTGTTTTATTGATGTAACAGTCTAAACTAATCAATATTGTTACAGAGAAACATTTCATTGTATTTGAAAGAAAACCACAAAATAAAAAACAGTAATTTTATACTTGGGATGTTTAGTCTGTTTTCTTAAAGTAGATATAAAATAAAGACATTATTGTTATTTGATCTTTTATTCTGTTTAATTAAAAAGTAATGAAAGTTTAATTGTAAAGATAAGATGGCAATTTTATTTGATCACTTAAATCAGGTAAAAGTACCTGAAATTAATCCAAAGTTATGTAATGTATTCAAAGGTATTTCCTTACATGTATCGTGTCTATTAGAGAAATGATACTGAGTCATACAATATATATTTTTGTACTGTATAAACTTTAGATTGAGAAACAATAAGATAGTTTGAGAAAACAGTTTAATGTCAGGAAATCTTTAGTATTCTAGCTATTGAGATTTGTGCTGACAATATAACATGTTATTACCTAATGCCTTCTATAAATACTAATTCCTTATTTACAACTGTTTAATTGAACCGCTGAAATCCTGTGTATGTGCAGTGATTAAATGAACTGGTTGACTGGTCAACATTTTTAGCTGTTACACCCCTGTCAACGTCATCATGTATTTCTGTATTTATGTCGCCCGCCACTATTAGGTTATCGAACGTCAATAAGCTCAATATACTGTAGTGGTTTGTCTGTAGGATTCAGTTGTTACTACTAATTAAACAGTTGTAAAAGTAGTGTCACCAGCATTTTTTATTCCAGTTAGTTAACAATGTCCTGTACAACCTGGGAAAATGTTGTACATGATTATATTATTTCCTGATGACATATGATTACACTTATAGCAGAAAATGTTAGCAAAATAATAAACAACATTTAAAATATTCATAATGTATTAATAGTGTATTTTTTATCTGCCAGATACCCCAGGTAAACAGATGGAGAGAATGCGTATAGAATTACAGCGTTTGAAGATGGACAAATCAGAACTATTAAGACAGAATGTTGTAAGCAAAATTGTAATATTAACTCCTATAAAACTTATTATAATTGATGGTTCTATTGAATGTCAGAAAAGATAAATTCTTTTATCCCTGTACATGCTGAATTTATAAAATGGATTTGCTCTGCTTTGACTGGAACAGTCCATATAAATTTTAAAAAGTTGTTGAAATAAGAAAATACAAAAATTGAGCTTCTAACATTATAGTATTTTGTCAGGTTGGACTTGCTCTGTACTGGTCACTTTAGTTTCCAGCAAGTTAAGGTTTATAAAAACAAGTTGAAATAAATAAATTCCTGTGATGTAGATTTTATGGTTTAGATATCATAAGAAATGAAAAATATAGACTTTGAAGGATGACAATTTTTGCTGCAATGTTTTTGTTTTGTTTGGTTGGACTTATGGTTGTTACACTGACAATGTAAAGGTAATTAACCAATTAACCATGAATTCCTTTCTATGGTCATTCAAAGTTACAGTACCTTACGAAATTCAAGGCATCTTAAACTGGTAAACTGTTCGATAGCCTGCCCAAAAACAATGCAGTAAAGTGACTTACTGCAGTGATAGGATAAACTACAATGTACAAACACCACCACCATAATACAAATGTATTCTGTGCAATTTACTGTGCTACTCAATATGTTGTACTTTGTAGTACTTTGCTAAAATTATATAAATGTTTTGTGTTACAGGTGAGCCAGAAAGATGTGAAAGAATTACGAGAGAGGTTATCAAGTACACAGAGAGAGTTACAACAGCTGAAAATGAACATGATAGAAATTAGTGAAGAGGCCCATGTTTGATTACTGGTGTATACAAGATACAAAACTTCCTGTGGCAACCAGTGTATACAAGACTTTCTGTGGCAACCAGTGTATACAAGACTTTCTGTGGCAACAGGTGTATACAAGACTTTCTGTGGCAACCGGTGTATACAAGATACAAGACTTCCTGTGGCAACCGGTGTATACAAGACTTCCTGTGGCAACCGGTGTATACAATATACAAGACTTCCTGTGGCAAATATTGTTGATAAATTATCCTGTTTGTAAGCTATATAATTGGACTAATTCTGTTAGCTTTAAAGAATGGGGTTTGTTTATGAACTAACAGGATTGTACACATCATGTTGGCACTCGACTAAATTTTTAATTTCTTGACAAAGTAAAATGAAATGAATCAAAAATAGAGTCAAGTAAAATAAACAAATTTACCAACATACCGGTACTGAGCTATTGTGATAATGTTTACCCACCTTTGCTTAAAATGGTTCATGCAGGGTTTAATTTTTATATGTAGAGAAATTCATTTCTCTACAGGGGATATAATGAAATTTTGTAAGAAAAGCTGTTAATCTTCTGGAAGTGAAGGCCAGACTAGCATGTATATATATATGTACAGTCTGACCAGGGCTGATCAATTTCAAACTTTCATCTTGATATCCCCAAAATTGATAATGGACAGTCCCAAAATAGTCAGCTGGGTATGTCCATTTAAAAAGTTTAGGGGTAGTTTATAAAGGACTATAACTAGTGAGCTGCCACCAGTACAAAGTGCATGTATAAAATAAGCCAAGAATTTTTTTTCCAACTGAAGATATAAAAAATAAAAACAATGATAGTTTACAATATTAGGTTCAGATTGTAAGAAGACATTAAAAAAAACTTTAAAAATCCATATAATTATGTAAATAGGTCTCCTTCCTTGATACATGTACACATTTGGTACACTATTACATTTATTATTAACCAGTGCAATGAAAATTAATTTTGTTGATACTTTTAGCATTATTATTTATGAATTTTGTATTGAAAAATGTAAAACATTATATTGTAACATTTTTTATTGATTTACAAGATTTATAAAATTGAATAAGACAGTTTAGTATTATATACAGGGTTTATCAGAATCTCAAATTGATTATGTAATAAGAGATTACAATACTTGAAATATATATATGCTGCATGAAACCTGAAATTTGACTTCAGAAGCAATTTGTTTTGAGTTAGTGATGTTACTCTTTAATATTGATTAAATTAAAAAAAAAACAACATTTATATGCTTATTATATAATGATGAAAATGTTAGTTTAATTGTGAAAAATGTACTTATTTGGCTTTCAAGAGAACTGATTGTTATTAAACTATGAATGAAGCTATTTTATTGGTCAATATAAAAATGATACCCAGAAACATCCAATCAAAATCTTGAGATTCAAGTTAAAACATGATAATTGTAAAGGATTTTTCAAAATGGTGCTTTTTGATGTTAATATGATTTTTGCTGCTATCTGTGGTTAAAGTCTGGCCTGTCATCATGAAATACAACATGAATTATATACAGTTTACTTCCTAACATTGATTTATTATGTCAAAATAGGCTGTTTATATAATAAGTCAATTAAATATTGAATAGAACAGCTAAGTGAGATAATATACAGGGGTTAACATGATGGGGGGGGGGGGGAATGAACAAGACTAGTAGTCTTAGTTTGTAACATTGATCAAATCTAGTGATATTGGTATTTGAGAAAATCCACAAGTCCATTTAAAGGCTGGAACACTGATTTAATGTTCATGATGAAACTCCTCCATTACTTCTTGAAGACCATGCTTCACCTCGGCCTTAAATATTGTTTGCTTTCAACTTCTACTGTTCAACCGGTAATTGTACTGGTCTAAATTTTTTAGCTCACCTGTCACAAAGTGACAGGGTGAGCTTTTGTGATCGCTTTTCGTCCGGCGTCCGTCCGTCGTCCATCCGTCCGTCCGTCGTCCGTCCGTAAACTTTTACTTTAAATGACATCTCCTCATAAACCACTAAGCCAATTTCATCCAAACTTCACAGGAATGTTCCTTTGGTGGTCACCTTTAAAAATTGTTCAAAGAATTTAATTCCATGCAGAACTCTGGTTGCCATGGCAACCGAAAGAAAAAACTTTAAATATCTTCTTTTAAAAAACCATAAGAGCTAGAGCTTAGATATTTGGCATGAAACATCTTCTAGTGAGTGTCTACCAAGTTTGTTCAAATAAAAGCCCTGGGGTCAAAATTGGCCCCGCCCCGGGGGGTCATTGATTTTCCCTATATGCATATAGTAAAAACTTAAAAAATCTTCTTTTAAAGAACCCAAAGAGCTAGAGCTAAGATATTTAGCATCAAACATGTTCTAATGAGTGTCTACCAAGTTTGTTCAAATAAAAGCCCTGGGGTCAAAATTGGCCCCGCCCTTGGGGGTCATTGATTTTCCCTATATGCATATAGTAAAAACTTAAAAAATCTCCTTTTAAAGAACTCAAAGAGCTATGGCTAAGATATTGAGCATCAAACATGTTCTAATAGGTGTCTACCAAGTTTGTTCAAATAAAAGCCCTGGGGTCAAAATTGGCCCCGCCCCAGGGGGTCATTGATTTTCCCTATATGCATATAGTAAAAATTTAGAAAATCTTCTTTTAAAGAACTCAAAGAGCTATGGCTAAGATATTTAGCATCAAACATGTTCTAATAGGTGTCTACCAAGTTTGTTTAAATAAAAGCCCTGGGGTTAAAATTGGCCCCGCCCCGGGGGGTCATTGATTTTCCCTATATGCATATAGTAAAAACTTAAAAAATCTTCTTTTAAAGAACCAAAAGAGTTAAAGCTAAGATATTTAGCATATAACATGTTCTAATAAGTGTCTACCAAGTTTGTTCAAATAAAAGCCCTGGGGTCAAAATTGGCCCCGCCCCGGGGTCAAAATTGGCCCCGCCCCGGGGGGTCATTGATTTTCCCTATATGCATATAGTAAAAACTTAAAAAATCTTCTTTTAAAGAACTCAAAGAGCTATGGCTAAGATATTTAGCATCAAACATGTTCTAATAGGTGTCTACCAAGTTTGTTCAAATAAAAGCTCTGGGGTCAAAATTGGCACCGTCCCGGGGGTCATTGATTTTCCTTATATGTGTATAGCAAAAACTTAAAAAATCTTCTTTGAAAAAACCCAAATAGCTAGAGTTAAGATATTAAGCATGAAACATCTTTTAGTGAGTGTCTACAAAGTTTGTTCAAATAAAAGCCCTGGGATCAAAATTGGCCCCGCCCCGGGGGTCATTGATTTTCTTTATATGTGTATAGCAAAAACTTAAAATCTTCTTTGAAAAAACCCAAATAGCTAGAGTTTAGATATTAAGCATGAAACATCTTCTAGTAAGTGTCTGCAAAGTTGTTTAAATAAAAGCCCTGGGGTCAAAACTGGCCCGGCCCCAGGGGTGTCATTGTTTTTAACTATATGTGTATAGTAAAAACTTAAAAAAAATCTTCTTTTAAAAAGCCCAATGAGCTAGAGCTTAGATGTTTAGCATGAAACATCTTCTTATTGGTGTCTACCAAGTTTGTGCAAATAAAAGCCCTTGGGTTAAATTGGCCCTGCAACGTTGGGGGTTGGGGGGGCCTTTATACAGGTGAGCGACCTCAGGGCCATCATGGCCCTCTTGTTTACTGAAAAACAAACTTTTCCTTTCTTTTTAGCAAGATTTCTAAGATTAGAACAATTGGATCAAAAACCAACACAAGTTTAAGTATCAAAACATGTTTCACTTTATTCAGCTTCCTCAGTTGATACATGCCCTTAGATTAGAAATACATGGTTGTGTTATTTTAAATGAACATTATGTATGATATTATGTACTCAGCAGAAATAAGAGAATTTAAATACAAACCAACTAAAAAGTATGAATAGGAAGTTGGGAGCAAACATTTTTTTCCGTGGGTGGTCTAAAGTTAGAAATATTTTACTGCCTTTAAATTTCATTGAGTATTTAAGGGCATTTTATTTTTTGATTAGTCATATTTGTCATCGTCATCATCATCATCATCATTGTAATGATAACAACAATTACAATAAACCATTCACCATCATTGTTTCATAATGCTGATAATGCCAAAATAAAAATAATGTATTTTTTGTTGATATTTTTAATCCCTATTTATGTATATAGAACTGATTTAAATGTTGTATATAGTGCGAATCTAGTCATTATTCTGTATATATTAGTTATGATGTACATGTTTACAACAAGCCTGTAATAGTGCTTATTTATTCTTTATAGAAAATTACCTACCTGCTTCATTATATTAATGTTGAAAAAATTGGAAATTTTTGTTCATCTATATGTATGAAAATATTGATCTTTTTAAGTACAGTATGTTCCATTATATGTAATATATGATTTTCTTTGATATTAGGTAGAACTAGACATAATTACAATTAATAAATGTGCAATGTTTAAGTGTTAATTAAGAAAATTGTGTTGTTTTAAACACGATTAAATACAGTGAAAAGTGTACAAAGTGAACTGTTGATAATTCAAGATTTCTCTTGTAACTCCTGGAAATAATACCCTAGAGATAATGTTATTTAGAAATATTTAATTGCTTGTATATCTCTGCAATTTCTAACTAACTTTGCCATGGTCATGATGAATGTTATATGGTAATATTTATATATGGCCTAATTATTTAAGTGTTACCTCATTTTAATGGAATAATCATCACTTTAGTTAAGTTAAGTAATTCCTAATAATTTATTTTCACAATCAATGAAAAAACTCAAATGAGTTAACGAGCCAATAGGTCAGTTTCACATTTTAAACAATTCACACAGTGTATAGACTGAATGTTGTAGTGTTAACAGCATATTTCCTTGTGTAGGATTTTATTTTCCAGTAAATTTAGGCCTCTAGTGTAAGAGATAAACAATATATTTTATTATTTTAGAGACTGCTGAGTGTCATACCATCATCTAGATGACTAGATGCTGTAAAAGTTCCCATTTCTCATACATGTACATTGTACACCTAATATGTTTTGATTAAATTTTATCTCCATTAATTTTTTCTATCAAATTTTTAAACAATGTTTTTCACTTTTTTTTCAATTAAAAGTCTAGAATATTTATATAGAATACCAATAAAAATCGTCAAACCTACTTAAAAGTGTTGTACTACACTACAGCTTATGACTGATTTACTGTTATATATCTAATAAGAATAAAAACATAAAATTTGAAAAATTTACATAAATCATGTAAAGCCGTTGAAATGGAACAATCTGCAAATGATAATAAAGAAGTATACACTGAATTAAAATGGCGTCCCTTTAAAGTTTTAAGTCTGTAATACTACAGTTTTTTGTCATGAAACATGGCCGGAATAACTTCATAGATTTACTGGGAATATAAATATGGTTAGGTAGGTGTATTGTATACTAATGATGCTAACTTAGCTGTACTTGAGATTTGTTTTAAAACTTCTAGTAACACTTTCTGCACAAATTTAGAACAGTTCATGGAGATTTCAATATCAAAATTGAATAGACAAATAGTTCTCACAAATGATCAATTAATATAAATACACCATCACAACATTGAATACAGTAAAAGTGAATGAATTACAGGTACTGTTTCAATAACTGACTGTATATTTCATGGCCTCCATGTATGTAAATTCTTGTGTAGTCTAATAAAGTCTTGTGTCAAAAACTGACCTTAAGTATAAAAAAATCTGGATTAAACAAAACCCTTTGTCAATAACCAAACAGAATTGCTTGTTGGTAAAACCTACAATAATAAGACCAAATTCAAAAACCTACAAACTAACCATTTATATCTATAAAGGCCTGTGTAAAAACATACTGTTAAAGATGGAATATAGAAATAGAGGATGTGGCTAAATTGCATTAAACATGTTATTGAACTTACAGATGTATACATGTATGTTTTTATGTAGAGAGATATTTTTGAAATGATTATTTTCATTATGAAGACTGTTTTATCTTGTTAACATGATTGATATTAAAAGCTGATTATATTTCATATTGTTGTTTTCTTATTTGTTTCTTTTAAAATATAATATTATTTGTCAGCTAAACTGACCACACATTGCCCAGTGTTTGTCAGTAAATGTACAATCAAACCCATTTGTGTAATGTGGAGGTGAACCTTTCGGTATACTTGGTACTTCTGTCAATTATAATAACAATAGGGCCATCATCAAGAGGGCCATGATGGCCCTGAGTCGCTCACCAGAAACAACTGCTTTTCAGTGTTAGAATGTCAATATATTCGAATATTAAATTTGAGCATAGAATATGTTTAAACAATAATTTGAAAAAATGCAATGACCTGGGGTATTTAAGCTTTAGCTTAAACCAAGCTAATCAAATTAATATGAGCAAACTTGATAAAAGACTACCTAAGAATGCTACAAAAATTGGTGATCATCTTTCAATTATTTCAGTAGGAAATGATGTTCGAAGGTTTTTTCTATTTTTAGCTTTAGTGGCCCCTAAAAGGGGCTAATCAAATAAATATAAGCAAACTTGATAAAAGAGTACCCAAGAATGCTACAGACAAAGTTTGGTGATCATCCATCAATTGGTTCTGAAGTAGAAGATGTTTAAAGGTTTTTCTATTTTTAGCTTTAGCGGCCCCTAAAAGGGGCCAATCAAATGAATATGAGCAAACTTGATAAAAGATTACCCAAAAATGCTACAGACAAAGTTTGGTGATCATCCATTAATTAGTTCTGTAGGAGAAGATGTTTAAACATATTTCTATTTTTAATTTTAGCGGCCCCTAAAAGGGGCTAATCAAATTAATATGAGCAAACTTAATAAAAGACAACCCAATAATGCTACAGACAAAGTTTGGTGATCATCCATCAATTAGTTCTGTAGCAATAAATGTTTAAATGTATATCTATTTTTAATTTTAGCGGCCCCTAAAAGGGGCCAATCAAAATAATATGAGCAAACTTGATAAAAGACTACCCAACAATGCTTCAGACAAAGTTTGGTGATCATCCATCCATTAGTTCTGTAGAAATAGACATTTAAAGGTATTTCTATTTTTAGCTTAAGCGGCCCCTAAAAGGGGCCAATCAAATTAATATGAGCAAACTTGATAAAAGACTACCCAAGAATGCTACAAACAAAATTTGGTGATCATCCATCAATTAGTTCTGTAGGAGAAGATGTTTAAAGGTTTTTCTATTTTTAGTCCTAGAGACCCCTAAAAGGGGCCAATCAAAATAATATTAGCAAACTTGATAAAAGACTACCTAAGAATGCTACAGACAAAGTTTGGTGATCATCCATCAATTAGTTCTCTAGAAATAGGCATTTAAAGGTATTTCTATTTTTAGCTTTTGCGGCCCCTAAAAGGGGCCAATCAAATTAATATGAGCAAACTTGATAAAACACTACCCAAGAATGCTACAGACAAAGTTTGGTGATCATCCATCCATTAGTTCTGTAGAAGAAGATGTTTAAAGGTTTTTCTATTTTTAGCTCTGCTGACCCCTAAAAGGGGCCAATTGGAATGACATGAGCAAATTCAAGTGTGACTGTCACAAGGATGCTACAGACCAAATTTGAAGTAAATCTGCCCAGTAGTTTCAGAGAAGAAGACGATTGTTGACGCATGACGACAGACGCCGGAGTATCCCCCTTTGATACTAATAGCTCACCCTGAGCCTTCGGCTCTGGTGAGCTAATAAAAGCTATTCTTGCTCTTGTTTTAAAGAAAAATACACATACTATTCTGATGTTTGTGTATAATTTATTCATTCTTGCACGATAAATAGGTAAAATTTCATTTAAAATTAAAGACTTCTAGAAGACAGACAAAATACTTTTAGAGTACTGACTAGCATTTAAAGGGGTGAACAGGTCTGATAGATATTTGGATTGATGATTCTTAGTGATTAATGTATTTGATATCAAACCACATTCTCCCTCATCTCTGTGGGTTTCAAACCCATCACTGATAAGTGCTCTAGCATATGAGGAAGCTAGCCTACGGAATGTTGGTGGTTCTACTCTGGTGTCAACTTGTGCCAGAATAACACAGGGGCACCGGAGGTCGTCCTCCACAAGCTGAAACTAGAAATGTGTCCATAGGACACAGGTGCCCCCACACACCACTGTTCTGTCAATCTTGGGACTAGGTCAAATATTTTTTGGACTATATGTGCCACAAGTTGAAAACTAAAAATCTTTTACTAAGTAAAGGGCAAGAACTTTTAAAAATACTGAATAAATCCACAAGCATAACCCAATGTACATAAGTAAACATGCTGACCAACATTCTTGTAAACTTTCAGGCCTACAAGTCAAATACTTTTTGAGGTATGCATGATGAACAAGTTGAAAATTGCAAATTTTTACTACTGTAAGTCAAGGGCAATAACTCTAACAAAACTGAAAAAAATCCACATGCAAAGTCCCAGGTGCATAGCTTCACAGTGATGTTGATCATTATTCCTGTAATTTAGTGATGTTGATCATTATTCCTGCAAAGTTGGTTGACTCTAACTCAAGCACTCAAGGAACAAATAACACAACATAATAAAATGGTTTTTACCAAGTCAAGGGCAATAACTTTACAAATACTGGATAAATTCACAAGCAAAACCCAAGGTGCACAACTACATACCGGTATGCTGAGCAACATTCCCGTAAGGTTTCATGACTATGTCAAATCTTTTTTGAGTTACATGCGACACAAGTAGAAAATTGCAAAACAAATTCTAAGTCAAGGGCAATAACTCTAAAAATACTATATAAATCCACTCGAAAATACCCAGGTGCACAACTACACATGCTGATCAACATTCCTGTAAAGTTTCATGACTCTAGGTCAAATCCTTTTTGAGTTACATGGGACACAAGTTGAAAATTGCAAATTTTTACTAAGTCAAGGGCAATAACTCTAAAATACTAAATAAATCCACACGAAAATACCCAGGTGCACAACTACATATGCTGATCAACATTCCTGTAAAGTTTCAGGACTCTAGGTCAAATCCTTTTTGAAATACGTGTGACACAAAAGAGAACGGATGGACGGACAGATGGACATGGGTAAATATAAATGCCCCCCCCCCCCTAAAGTTGGGGCAAAGAAATGCCATGTGACCTTTACTGTCTTGGTATGATTTAAAACCAGGCTTATTTATTATACAAGTGATGTACCACTGTCTTCTAAGAAACAAGTTCATCATAATGTCAGGTGACATCTGATTTTATCTTACCAACAAGTGATGTAATATACACCGGGAGGAAACTTACTTCTAGATTTAAATTTGATCTTGATATCCCTTCAGTAGGCTTACTTCTGTAAACTTGTTTAGCAATAAAATCATAGTGATGTTACCATTTTTCTGCTAAAAGTTGCCATCATTTCGGACTTTTTAATGCACTTTGGTAAATAGATCTAATGCAACTCTTGTTATCAAGCATTGTTTGGCCAACAGGGAGCAGGACTTTGTTTAAAGTCGACAAAACAAAGTGAGTTGCATAGAGAAGTTTGAAGTCACAAATAAACAATACATGGTGTCTGTTACAGGTAAAGTTATATACATGATACAATTTGTGTTTAATGAAGAACATACAACAAGTTGTAGAAACTGCATACTGTTTTATTTTTAGCTAATTATCACAGTACACATATTGCACAGAGTAATTGGTTTTAATGTAGAACGTATAAACATGGAATAAAATAGAGAGTACTTCAATAATCTGAAAACTTAAACATATTTGTGTTTCATCATCTGTATTTTTTTTTCTATTTGTGATTTACAAGAATGATGTAAGAAATTTTTATTCCATTCAGACACTCAACAGGATTAAAAGTTTCCCCTATTATTGTATAGTAATTTTAGACTGAACATACAAATTAATAACGCTTCCTATTATTTCAATATTTAAAAACAGGCACAAAGTGTTTACACAAAAAAATACAGTTTTATGTAATCAAAATAATGCGTAGCCTGAAGACCTACAAATGTATTGCATATGTGGTACTGTAGTAAAATAAATATGAAAGAAACAGTAGTATTTAAGCTTGTTTCTGGATAATATACAGTAAGCTAAATGATGTAAAATAGTGGGCCCTAAAGTACATGTATTATTAAAAACAAAACAAAATGGAAAATACAAAAGAATAAATGTAAAGAATAAGTTTTAAAGAATTAAGAATACTGTATAATAGTCATGACTTGAATATTTACTTAAGATAAAGTGAAGTACAATATATACGAAAATTCTACTGCCACATAATCACTGTTTCATGTGAATATGAGAATAGATAAAAACTTTATACAGTTGGCATTGGTCCTTGAAAATGTTATCTTACTGCTATGCAAGTAAAGGAATCAAAACTAGTTACTGGTACAGACCTTAATATCCACCTTGAGGGTAACTATTTTTCATCAGCAAGTTAGCAGAGCCTGTTACAGCTTTAAACAGCTACCCTATAGCTTGATATGTCTGTACTGGCAGTTAGTATAACACTGCTTTCAAATAAGCTGTATAAATGTTATCTTTTTGATTCTTTTTTTAATACAGAGGAATTATGCTGAAAGGTTTTACTAAATGACTATGCTGATTTTTACCTGTAACATATGTTACAACTTTCAATAATCTTAAAAATAAATATAACTTTTTTGCGGTTTTATAATATAATGCAACAATAAAAAGATTCTAATATTCATTGAGATTTCATATAAACTACCATAACACTTGTGTTAGAAATTTTACATAATTCTCTTAAGGATCGTATTATAATACTTTCCTAGACTTGTATAATAATTCTATATAATATTGATTGTTTTTATTAATGGCTACTTTTTTATTAACACTATAAATTCAAGTTATATACATGTAGGGCTAGCAGTTGTCTAATTCTTTCCAAGACTTGTATAATAATTCTATATAACACTATAAATTCAAGTTATATACATGTAGGACTAGCAGTTGTCTAATTCTTTCCAAGACTTGTATAATAATTCTATATAACACTATAAATTCAAGTTATATACATGTAGGACTAGCAGTTGTCTAATTCTTTCCAAGACTTGTATAATAATTCTATATAACACTATAAATTCAAGTTATATACATGTAGGACTAGCAGTTGTCTAATTCTTTCCAAGACTTGTATAATAATTCTATATAACACTATAAATTCAAGTTATATACATGTAGGACTAGCAGTTGTCTAATTCTTTCCAAGACTTGTATAATAATTCTATATAACACTATAAATTCAAGTTATATACATGTAGGACTAGCAGTTGTCTAATTCTTTCCAAGACTTGTATAATAATTCTATATAACACTATAAATTCAAGTTATATACATGTAGGGCTAGCAGTTGTCTAATTCTTTCCAAGACTTGTATAATAATTCTATATAACACTATAAATTCAAGTTATATACATGTAGGACTAGCAGTTGTCTAATTCTTTCCAAGACTTGTATAATAATTCTATAGAACACTATAAATTCAAGTTATATACATGTAGGACTAGCAGTTGTCTAATTCTTTCCAAGACTTGTATAATAATTCTATATAACACTATAAATTCAAGTTATATACATGTAGGACTAGCAGTTGTCTAATTCTTTCCAAGACTTGTATAATAATTCTATATAACACTATAAATTCAAGTTATATACATGTAGGACTAGCAGTTGTCTAATTCTTTCCAAGACTTGTATAATAATTCTATATAACACTATAAATTCAAGTTATATACATGTAGGACTAGCAGTTGTCTCCTAGCATTTACTCATAAATTCCAATTTTCATAGGTCTAAAAACAATCATTAATGAGCATAACTATGAACAAACTGAAATATTAACTTACATCAATCCTATAATATTGCACATTAATGAGACAAGAATTCTATTTGAGAACATCTTTAATTTCAGCAATTTTGTGGGGTATGAAATATAGTTGAAAGAAGCTATTTAGATCTTGACATGTTTGGTTTCTATATCAGCACTGTTCTCATTAATACAAATTATGATGTGTATCAGAATGAACATGTTTGCTGTACAGTACTTGTGAGATAAAAAACCTCTGTTCCCTAATTTATGTAATATGAGCTGCGTCATGACAAAAACAACATAGTGGATTTGCGACCAGCATGGATCCAGACCAGTCTGCGCTTTCGCGCATTCTGATCAGGATCCATGCTGCTCGCTTACAAACCCTATAACAAGTAGAGAAACTAATAGCAAACAGCATGGATCCTGATCAGACAGCGGGGATGCGCAGGCTGGTCTGGATCCATGCTGGTCGCAAACGCACCAAGTTGGTTTTGTCGTGATGTGGCTCATATTATCTTTTACTTTTCAAAAATCTAATCAATTTCTTCATTATTATGCTTTTTCATACATTTAGACACAGAACAAACCAATTAACATCAATTGTGAAGGCATTATCATATATAAAACACAGTATAGATTAAAGTTTTAGAAACACATATTGACTAGAAAGCTCATGTGGTAAAATACAATATAATACATATATAACCCCTTCACCATCAGGTAATATATTAATAAATAATGCTTTAACAAACTAAACTACTATACTTGTTACCATTATAAAACATTGTACTATATTTTCAAAAAACACCATTCATTATGTTAACAATAAGTACTGCAAGTTATCACAAACTAATTTGAAGTCTTCAGTAAAACTCTTTACCCATGTTTTATAGTACAAGAGTATATAAAATAGAAGAAATATCATTAGAGTATCACTATAAATTATCACTTTAAATTAAGTGAAGTACATACATGTAGACAATATCAATATACATGTATATATAATTTTTGTAATACAACAAAATTGCTTGTTTAATAAGATTATATTTATTACCACAATCTATCTTGTATATCATGAAATATGTTTCAAAATTCTTTCCAAATATTTCCCACGTTAAAAGATTTTGAAAATTCATGTAGTCAGAAAAGTCACACATTACATGTACTATGCAAAAAAAAACCAATAAAGAAACCTTCTTAAATTGACAAACATGAACAATATCAACAAGGGTATTTATCTAAACCATAACTAAAATGAAAATTCAGTAATACACATAGTGAATAAATTGAATAATGTAAACTTCTAATAAAATTCAATACATAAAAACTAACATTTAACATACATATATTGAACTCCTCTTTTACCATTAAAACAATTATAACTATATGATTATCTTCAGTTATAGATCAGAACAAGTTATATAAAGGACTGTAGAGATTATGTAGATTTTATGATACTCCAAACTGTCAGTAGTATATCAACATTTTTTGTTACAAACCTTCATGTAAACCAAACACTGTAAATATTATTTCTGAATTATATCTAATGGTATATCTATTCTCATTTTGATTTCTATAAATGATGTAGAATGATTGTCAAAATGAAATGTGAATCATCTCTCACCATTATGCATACGATCATTAAGTACATTTTTAGATTTACTTCACTTTTAACAGATGCTTCTTATTGCGGCAACCAATTTTCCAAAAATGATATAATAAAGGCGAGAATATTTTTACGGTTCAAGGAAAATGAGAAGAAATTCATTGAATAGCAGTACACAAGCATGGACATGTATGTTGCCTATATAAGTACATATAGAGATCATTTCATTGACTGATACAGACCATGTAGGTCTTCTCCACCTACAGAATTGGCCATCTGTCTATAAATTTTGATCATATTCAAAATGTACCTTTTTGATAATTGACACTTCAAATGTCTTCAAAGAAGTTTACTTTAAATATAAACTGTTTTTAACTATATGTGAAAAGGTCGACTGATACATTCATTTTTTGATGGAGTTTATTTTGGGGGTGGGGGAATTCTTTGTAAGATTAGAGTAACTGTTAAGTATTCTATGTGTCATCAACTTCACACTTAAAATCTGTGTTGTATATAACTTTTGGTAAACATTGTCTATAATAAAATGATTGTTCAAAACTATACCCATGTACAATATACAGAAAAACAATAATGCAGATTTATAATATGTGCAAACACCATGGAATGATTAAGATAAACAAATATACTTCTATAAATAATGAGACAGGTAAGTTATAAAAAAAACTTGTGATATTGGAATGCATTAGAAGCAATTCTATAAATAACAACAATCTGATAATATATGTATGAACTATAACACTATCTTTACTGCTGTCTAAACAAATTACAATCTAACAATACTGAACTAGAATTTTGCCGGCATTGTTCAACTCCACAAGGTTTACACATGACAACAGTTCAATTCAAACGTCTACAAAAACGTCTTATATAGTATGACAATTTTTTAAAAATATTTTGCTGATCTTTATCTTTTGACAGAATTCAAAATTGCTCTCTAATCCATAACTGAATTTCTTAAATAAATTGTCCTGTTTCCAGTTTTTGAGTTGTACATTATCAATTTTTTTTGAGATATCAAGAAAATCTGAAGTTGGTCAACTAACAGGTATAGAGCCTAGTTAGACAGAAGTGTATGTCTGTCTGCCTCTATACTAATGACAAAAGCTGATCATTGTTTGTTACAGCAAACTACACTAGAAAATCTACATCCCCATATATATATGTTAGTAGTTAATTTTACCTGCACAATATATCAACCTTTATACCCACGTCAGCAGTCAATCAGTATATAATTAACTAAACTATAGTACATTATAACTAAAACTTTTAATCTATTTCTGTATTCTTATTTTAATCAATTTCTCAAAACGTGGAAAAAACAAAAACAAAAAAAAATGACTGCACATTTTAAAATGGATTCATATCTGAAACAGAAATACTTCTTTGTATTCTAAGATAAAATTTAGCTCTCACAGACAACCTTCTGTATTTACAAAAAAAAAAAATTAAAAATTTATATATGAGAACAAAAAAGCATTTATGATACAACCTCTCTTACTTGTCACTGGGACAATTTTTCCTCCATTCTTTTGTTAATTCTATCCATTTAAAAGGCTATATAAGAATTAATACCATTGAGAAAGGACAATTTGTACAATTCATTGCAGTCAAACAAAATCATTTAAGAGGTAATGAACATGTGCAAATGGGAACTGAAATGTATTAATGTTACTATGGCAATGGTGATGACTAATGTTTCTCTGAGCCTGTATAAGGCTGTTGGCCGGTCTCATATGGCTGGTGATCATCCATTCCTCCAGAGTTAGTGGGAGCTGGTGTATCAATATTCTCATATGCGCTATGCTGCGGACTGCCACCTGAATTTCAAAAAAAATCATTTTAGAATTAACGTGTTAGTGAAACCAAGATTGAAGTACTAAATATAATGGAACTTAATCAAATTCCTCAAGTTTCTCATTATCTTGATTGGTTTCTTCTATTTCTTTTCTTTGACCTTACCCCTGAAGGCATTGGACTTCAAAAGCAAGTCCATTTCTATCTTTTTACAGACAATATTCTGTGATAACTGTTATTATACTCTTTTGTGTTTTGAAAAATGAAAAAAAAAGAAGAAAATAACTGAATATAATGATTTATGAATAATCAATATTATAGGCTGTGTAACTGGTGTTTTATTGCCCTCACACCCCATATACACAATTCCTCATAACAGCTGTGGTTGTCGTGTCTAATTTTAGTGACAACTTGGATTTGCCATTCATCAATCAAAGTTCTCTTGGTGTTCACTACTTTAAAATATAATGAAACACAATGTCTTGTAAATTGAGTTGTCTAAACGTTTTTGTTTTCCTCTTATGCGATACTTTGAAGATGCTTTTAGTAATCAAATGTTGAATTTTGATACACAAATATTTACTAGAAATAAGAACCCAAAATCAATTGTGTAAAATTTCATTCCTTTTTTTGGTTTTAAAAGTTACAATGATAAAACATCATATTTTTGTCCTGTAATATGAAGGATCCCAGTAGTCTTCCATTGTTCACATTATATAAAAGATGGACAAGGAATTCTATATACTAGATGTTTTCTTACAATTTTCATGTGACAATTTGTGTGATGCCCTTCACATAACTAGCTGACTACATGTACCTTGAGTCAGGGAGATTTCAGCACTAAAATAATTATAATACACACAACAATTCTTATTTCTTACATAACTGCTATGAGGAAATGATAAGAAAGCAGTTTTATTGTGGTATATGTCCTCTATGTGTACACAATTTATCTACTAGTCAGATTTATTAGTGTCATATCTTCACCAACTGGTGCTATGGTAAATTATTACCTAGATACAAGGGATATATGGCCACATCATGTCTCAGACAGTATATCTAGGGTGCAATCTTTTGATAACAGTTACTATATATTATATGAGCACCCACCCTGGACTGCATATTGATTAGTTTATACAGAATCATGCTATGAATGCCACAAAGTTCCAGCACAACTTGTAACTACTCCTCCTATTGAATCATTCAATCAAGCAGTGATCCAACTGCCCAATTTTACATCTGTTATTTATAAAGTTTACTTGAGCCCTTAACTTAACCTAAAAGAAGGAAGGAAATACATACCAAATCCTGGAAGATTGCCAACACCTGGAATGTTAAAGTCGGAGTATGAACCTCCTCGATCACGATATATTCTGTACAACAGGAATGCTGTTATAGGCTTCACTATCAGATTTACTATCGCCATTCTAAAAGAGAAAAACGTTATTTCTTCAATGTCATAGAATATCACAACTGTAATTAAAGCCCATAGGACCTTACTTTTTTTCTTTTAAATGGATTCTATATCCAAACATTTTTTGGCAATTATTATGGGAATCATACACACAGGTTTAGAAGACTATGATTTAATAGGTTCAAATTAATGATAATGCATTTATTTGAGCTTTAAATTTTAATTATTTATTATTACTATGTATAATACCCTATTTAACCCTGTTGTAAAGTTTTAATACCGGTAATACAATGAGAATTATTTATAACAAGTGTTACATATAACTATATCTTTTTTGCATACATGGTAAAATAAACTAAAAATAAATTACCCTAGAGAAAATCTATATTCATTCCTGGGAGTGCCTGAAATACAACAATGGTAACTTTTTTTTAAATGTAAAATTTTTTTAACTGCCTAGGACAAAACAATCTTAACTTTGTGATCACTATAACTATATTGACAGATCTATATAACAAACAAGACTACCATTCAGGGCTTGAGCTAGGGGGTGACTTGGGCGATCAACGACTTCGCCTATAACAATCTTCAAAGCGATTTTGAAGTCGCCCGATTATTTTAATGATCTGTCATACCTATTTACGACGCTAGATCTGTTAACAATTTGTTTATTTCTCAATTACAACAAATTACCATTAATTCGGTAGTTAAAAACGCGTGTCAACATCAACAAAGTCTAACACACGCCGCAAGGCAAGAGTTCACTATGTATATCTTTCTCATTATGTATTCACGTGATTGACGAATCAGAACGCACGTTGTATCTACGGTTATTTGCATTGACCAATCGGCGACACACTTACAGACTGCGGCTATTTGTTGACAATTAAACTAAACGGTGACAGATTCAATCAATTTTCGCCGATTGCATAATTAAAGACACCTGCATATACATAATTGTCGATAATTATTGCGGTGTTTTGGCAAGTAAAGATAAACAATAAACAATCTTAAAGGTGTGGTTATGTTCGAAAAACTTGATTGTTAAAAACTTTCGGAGCACTAATCTGTAGAAATTATGTGAAAATTTGTATCTTATATTTTATTAATTAATTGAACTCCGTAAAGAAAACATGCTGATAATGCAAAATTAAAAAAGTCTTTAACATTCTGGCTTTTGGGCAAAGTGCTAAATGAAAATTATAGACGATGACCAGTCCGACTCATTGCTAATGGCAAGTGGCACTGCTTTATCTGCCCTGAATATTGTTACCAACTAAACATACTCACTACATGTATACAGTATATGTAAATAATGTGTTTGCTAAGAGTATTGCTATACATTTTTAAGAAAAGTTGATTTATAGTAGAATTGTTTTGTTTGAGTCCTCTCAGTTTCTGATTTCTTTTCTGGTTTTTAAAGTTTCCTAACATATAATTTTCCAGATGAGGCCTAATATGTCTCCCAACTTCTCCCTAAAGTCTCCTCACTTCTCCCTAAATCAGCTGGAGGGAGAAGTCACTTCTCCCTAAAATTTTGATCTAGCTAACCCTGCCATTGCAGGTTTAGTCACTCAAATATATTGTACAATTGAAATACAAAACATGTGATCCATTGGTTGATAAGACAGCTTGTTTCCCACTTGCTTTACTCCTGTCAAGCAGTTTTTGTAAACAAACTTGAGATTCAAAATATCTTTTTTTATATAAAGTTTGGTGAGGGCCGATTAATAATTACTCAAGGAAATGTTGGTAAGGCTATATGGGTTTTTCTATGTGACGATCCAATATAACCAAGCAGAGAATATCTTACCAACTTGATTACAGTTAATAAAGGATGCTACAATCAGTATCTGAAATATTTAACTTATGTTAATTTTTCAAATCTGACATTTATTTCTGGGATGAAACATCTATAAAACAAAAAATGTACCTTGCATTGCTGGATTGCTCTCAAAAGTTGTATAACCTCTAGGCTCATAAATTCCTAGAAGAATAATGTCTTGAAGTATAGAAAATACATGGCACAGCAGGAACTGAAATATATAACATGTTCACAGTTATCACTATCGCTAAACCAGCTCATGCTTACACTAATAGAGATGCCTACGTTAAACTTTAAAACATTATTTAATAGGTGAGCAACTGGTGGTGGTGTTGGTAGTTTTCACTTCAGATCATGACAGTAAGCTACATTAAAGTTACCATAGCACAGTTAAACCATTGCATTATTCCAGGGCAGGCTGCCAAACAGTTTACCAGTACTTGTTGCCTTCACTTTTGCAAGGAACTAATTACTTCTGCCAGAGCAGATGAACGCAGTAGAAGTGAGCAACTGTCTTACGTGGTGATCATTGCTTTCATTGCAATATCTCAAAACATGTTTGAGGCATTGATTTTCTAATAGGAGAAAAGTATAAA